TATGTTATGTCTATTTCAATATGTTAACTGAGGCCTTTAGACAGTATTCCGAAAAAGTTACTTTAAGCCGTCAACGAAAATTGAATAATGCTGAGTGTATTGTCCAGATTAAAAGGGAAATTTCCCTTGCTAAGGCGTGAACCGTGAACTCTCGAGAGCGGCGTTAATTCGAGGGCGGCGTTTAAATCGAGTAAATACGGCAAACACACACACAACCCACAATTTCCCCAGTCGCTCTGACGAAGGGCTAACGCTCGATGCGTCAGCTTTGAAACTATTGATGGTGGCCAATTTACGTTATCAACTCAGTTAATAAGACTAAAATATCATATAAAAGTCCAATTGACCATATAAGTAATAAAAAGTTGATCATATGAAAAGTCGAACTGATCATCTAAGATGTCGCATTATTTGACAGTGGTCATTCAGATAATATACCTGTGGGCAGAGTGCATTTACAACAGGATAAGACATTTTGTTGAGAAGTGATCAGTCATATTATGCATTTGGTTAAAGTTTGGAATAAAAAATTTCTTAAAGTCTAAGCTGCACTGCTAAGGTGAAATATTTATACAGACAGCAATCTTTGTGTACCAGGCCTTATTATTACTCCTAGATCCACTGGGGTAAAAAGAAAAAAAATAAGTCGTAGTGTAACATTTATATGTGCAAATAAATTTGACAAAGACTATGAAAATAGTCTTAAACAGATAGTTGTATTGAGTATAGGTTTTACTGTTTTTATTGAGTTTCTTGAGAGTTGCACTTAAATTAATGAGACTCATTTTGTGATAGGCATCATGAAACTGCCCCCACTCCTGATCCACTTTAGCGCAAGAAATTATTATTCTTTAAAATGAGAAGTGATCTGGTAACTAAAAGATACTAGAAGAAAAAAATCCAAACCTTGTAACCTCATCAGTTTTAACTAAAAATAATTGTGTTTTTCTAGCGAGCACGAGCCGAGCGTGGGTCAAACCAGAAACGCGCGAAGCGTGGAGGGACTTGGCTACACAGCAGTGCTTACAGGGAGTTGAGGTAATCAAATGTTACTTAGTACTAACGTGGTACAGACGCAAAATATGTGACTCCCAAGCACCAAAAAAAAAAAAAAAAAATTGGAGCGTGAAGAATAATAATTGCTTGCATTAGAGAGGATCAAGAGTGGGGTACAGTTTCATGATTCCTATCATTTACACACAGTTATTTTTAGTTACCATATCACTTCTCATTTTAACGAATTATAACCAATCCAGAATACTATCAGTCACACATGGCCACAGACCTTTTCATATTATATTTAAACCAGGCTTTTAATTGTCTGCTCTAGATGTAAGACTGAGGAAAGTAATTGTTATTTCTGTCAAGACTAAGTCAGGGAATTTTAAAGAGCAGGCCTGTTTGTGAGTCGTCTAGTCTGATTTTTTTAAACATCTTTCAAGCATGCAGAAGTAAGTGTTAGGTGAGCGCTAAGGACGGAAAAAAGTCGTTCCTACTCTGTCGCGCGTTTTGAAGAGCATTGTTCAGGGTGGCAATGTTTATTTCAGAACGGAAATTGAACAATGCTCAGTGTATTGTCCAGATTATAAGGAAAATTTCCCTTGTTAAGGTGTGTTTGACCTGTAAACATCACGCCACATGAGAACAATCAACTCTTCATTGCAAAGGTATTTAAAATTTCCGTGTGGTGTGAATAACAAGTCATAACATCTCAACCAGTCTCTGGATAAATTTCGAGTCGCAGTCTCGCAGTTCGTCCAGTAATCATCAAGATAATCAGTTTGTGCGTCTGCCATCAAGATATTTCTCGCTCTAACTTGAATTTCAAGGTATGTGAGCAACAGTTTTTCCAACTAAACCTTTTGTTGTTCATTATGAGAAAATACGCATTAATTTGCGTGGAAAGACGAACAATTGCGTGACGTTATATTCCAGCTACAAAAAACGATAATTTGCGCGTAAATCAGGTTCCACAACGATTTTTTTATTTTAATCAACATACAATAGCAATTTTGGGCATTCTTATCTATCAATTATCATTCAAAAAGGAAAATATACTTTCATTTGCGGTTACCTTCGAGTCATTGACGCCATATTGAATGCCAGTGGAGAAAATACACAAACATTATTTTTTTATTATATTTTTACCACACTGTTTGCAATTCAACAGCATTCCCGGACGACATTACTGTGAATAGGACAATCACTAAAGCGCTTGTACGAACAACTGAGTGGTTTTGTATTCAATATGCAAGTATCAATTTTCAATTGAAAACCTCTTTTGCCTGACTTTACAATGTCAGTAAATTTCGTTCAGTTCATTCGCTTCGTGAACGTCTTTTGGCCGCTAACAAAATGCCACAAAGAATCCAAATACCACTCGAACAAAATCGTACTTTCAATGCGCAAAAAAGTAGCCAAAGAGGACTCGCTAGGCGCTAAGGTTGATTATTTAGAACTTTAAATGCAACTATCAACCAGAAAATACAAGAAAAAGTTCGTGTCATAGGTGCTTTAAAGGGTAACTGACGGCAAAATTTCCCCCTTTTTTTGTCCCTATAAATTCCTCTTTGGTTAAAGAATCCTAAATGAGCAAATAAACGATATATTGGAAAAACCAAATTTTCTACTGATTTTTTTTTACGCTTAATCAACGGCCATTTTGAAAACGTTCCGATCAAGGTCGTGTGAAATGATACGCCCTCGATGTCCAGCTGCTACCGAACAGAAAAAGAAAAGATTTTATTCCATTTTGGTACAAGCCACCATTTAGAGACTTAAATACAAAGCGAAGAACAATATACTCTTCTCTAAAAAGGTTGAATTATCGAAACGCGACGGATCGCGTATCTGTATTCAGAGCCACAGATAAATTGCATGCCATGCCAAACAGCGGTAAAAAAAATTATGTTATTTTTTGCTCTTGACCATTATCGAGTCTGTTATTTAAAGAAATATTTTTAAGTCCAAGCCGAAAAGCATTCAACTTAAAATTTTGTCCGGTATACATCACTGTGACCACAGGCCCATCGGTTCTGGGGTGAGCGTGACATAAGCAGAAAGTGTTGTCACGAATTTCGGGAAGTTTTGATCTGGCTTCGTGAACGAAACTCTTCTTCCACGCTCCGGAAATGTACAAGATGGATTCTTTCTTTACATTTTTTTAACGGCGACCAGCGAGCAGCACAAAGAAAGACTTTTTGGTATTGTAACTTTTTGTCTACTTCTTCCGACGCGTTTCGTCACTAGCTGAGACTTCTGCAGGGACGATTACAACTAACTGATGTAAAGAGGAAAAAAAGAAGTAGTAGAAGTAGAAGACTTTGAAAATGTTCTTAAACAGATAGTTGTGCATGTTGAGAGTTGCACTTAAGTTAATGAGATTGATTTTGGTCTTGTGATAGGCATCATGAAACTGTGCCCTACTCCTGATCCACTTTAGCGCAAGCAATTATTATTCTTTAAAATGAGAAGTGATCTGGTAACTAAAAAAACTAGAAGAAAGAAATCCAAACCTTATGACCTCGTCAGTTTTAACTAAAATAACTGTGTGTTTTTGTAGCGAGCACGAGCCGAACGTGGTCCAACCAGAAACACGCGAGGCGTGGAGGGAATTGGCTACACAGCAGTGGTTACGGGGAGTTGAGGTAATCAGATGTCTAGATTATATTACTAATGTGGTACAGACGCAAAATATGTGACTCCCAAGCACCCCCAAAAAAAATTGGAGCGTGAAGAATAATAATTGCTTGTATTAAAGAGGATCAAGAGTGGGGTTCAGTTTCATGGTACCTATCATTTATACACAGTTATTTTTAGTTACCAGATCACTTCTCATCTTAACGAATAATAACCAATCCAGAATGCTATCAGTCACAGACGGCTACATACCTTTTCATATTATATTTAAACCAGGCTTTTAATTGTCTGCTCTAGATTAAGTAAGATTAAGGAAAGTAATTGTTATTTCTGTCGACTAAATCAGGGAATTTTTAAGAGCAGGCGTGTTTGTGAGTTGTCTAGTAGGTCTTTTTTGTTTTTTTTGCATCTTTCAAACAAGCAGAAGTAAGTGTTAGGTAAGCGCTATGGACGAAAAAGAAGTCGTTCTTGCTCTATTGCGTGTTTTGAAAAGCATTTTTCAGGGTGACCATGTTTATTTAAAAACCAAAATTGAGGAATACCGAGTGTATCGTCCACATTAAAAGGGGAATTTCCCTTGCTGAGGTGTGTTCGACCTGTAAACATCGCGCCACATTTCTCGAGAACAATGAATTCTTCATTGCATTGGCATTTAGCATATGGGAGGGAGGTATGAATTACAAGTCATAACACAACCTCTCTCCGGGTAAATTTCGAGTTGCAGTTGAAAGAGTTTTGAAATTTCATAAACATGTAAATCAAAATACCGTGAAAGTATCATATTAGACATGAAATTAATTCAAACTGTTTGTTGACAAAGGAAAGTTTGTGTCAATGAAGTGGAGTTGAGGTCTGAAAAAAAAACTAGGTTTTGACGCTATACCGAGCTTATCGAAGTGAAAGACTCTAAGTTCTAAGATGCACATTCATTTTGTGACGTCACAGTCTTCGATTTCTCGGTTTCCGCATTTTATTGAGATACAACATTTGAACCTCGAGAGGGGAATATTTAGCGTTAACTACAAAGTGTTGGCACTTGGCATCCAAACAGAAAGTAGATTCTAAGTGTACATTTATATTCTAAAATAAAGTAGAGATGAGTTTTCAATTTGTTTCGAGTTAATTTAGCTGTGTAGCCACTTTTCGTATTCATGCCGTCATGCACAATTAATAGAGCCAGTGTGCATGTGCTATTAAGTATTTATTTAAACGAGAATTACATGGTAAAAGAGCTTTTTCCTTTTCCCCTCACATTCAGCAATCGCTGTTTAATCTCACCTAAGACGTCTGTATGCTTGAACGAATTGAATCTCTTTCGGGATTTTGGTAGAAGATAGCTATCTCCAGAGCTCACGCCGAGTATGGCTCTACAGCCTTTTACAAACGAGCAGCTGAATTACTTCAAATTTTCCTCAGTTGTACTTAATGAGTTCGCCACTGCTTTGCGTCAGACGTTCAAATCCATGTGGGACAACAGATATGGACATCGTTCAGGGTATCAACTGTGGGATAACTCCATGGTAGTAAGAAATTTGTTTCTCGCTGAAGAGGGTGGAAAAACCAAAGTTCCCACACACATCTCCTATGAAGAGTGGGATTGTACCGCTCTGTTCCAGGCCACCATCTATGCAAGGTCCTTCGCTATGCCAGATAGCAAAGGTCATTACAAGACACTTGGTGAACTGTACATAAAGCACCACAAAGTGCCTCTTGGAAAGTTCCATCCATCTGTTGCGAGTCCAAGTGGAAATACAGCCGAAACCTTCGCTCTCGCGATTGATCAGCTTCGACTTTTACGAAACTCGCTTTGTCACTCAGACAAGTCAGAGATTGATAAACCAACCTTTGACCAATACGTGCAGCTCGCTAAAGAAGCATTCAAAGCTCTTGGTATCATGACAGATCCCATTGATGCCATCGGTGGATTGACAGAGTCTGACTTTCCCACGAAAGAAGTTCGCAAATTGGAAGAAAGTTTCAGACAGGAGACCAGATCATATATCGAGTGTCTCGAAGAGGTGCAGTCAGGTGTCGACAAATTAGTAGCACAGGGGAATGCTATAGGGGAAAAAGTAGATAACCTCGCTTTGAAAATGAAGAAGGATCAAGGTAAAACAGGTATAAACTGATGAAAAACTGCATTGTGGCACAGTCTTGTAAGCACTTTCTTGGCAAGGAAAAACAAAAGGGACAGCAGTGTTTTTACTCTGTACTTTGAAGGTAGCAATAGCTCAACGGAGTAACTTCCAGTTTTTGCAAAAATGCTTTGTACATGTCTCAAAAATCCTTTCTTCTTCCCTAAGATGAATTTCTTCTATGATCAGAGTAGCACCTTGAACAATCTGTTTTCTTTTATTTCAAAACAATTTGTGCAAGAAATAAACTGCACCCACTTTATTTACCGGCATTGTGACTCTTGTAGGATGTTGTTAAAATTATAACTTCACGGAAAAAGCAGCAAGCTCATAATTGACGCTGTATCCATAAAACTTGATTTTCTAGATTTTTAGTGCGACAGTAAAATGTACCCTTTTTTTTAATGATCATTATTTTTTTTTTCTCCTCAAACTACCGACATTAGCTCTTTCATGATTGCATCAATTTTTTCCTTTTAAGACTCAAAGCCATTCCTTCCACCATCAAATCTTCCCTCAAGGGTTCCACACTTCACTGGCCGTCAGAGAGAATGTGAACACATTAGGCGTCACTTAACTTCCAAAAGTACCCGGATCGTGTCCCTATGGGGCTCGCCTGGTTTTGGTAAGACTTCTGTGGCAACTGAAGTCGGACATCAACTCCAAACTGGTGGACTTCCCGTATACTTCTTCTCTATGCGACGACTTCTTTCAAAAGCCGGTCTGACTATGCAGCTTCTGAGCTTCTTTAAAAGACACTCCACAAAAGATCAAATGCCTCAGCGGATGTCCCTTGAAGACGAACTTTCCCTCTTTCTAAGCAATATTTCAGGTGAATTTGTGATAATTCTTGACAATGCCGATGACTTGCTCGAAAGTGGAGCACCCAATGTGAAGGAGGATTTCATCAACCTTCTGGAAGTCATTCTTAGTCAATTCAAGAATTTAACATTTCTTCTTACCACAAGGGAATCTCTTGAGTTTATGAATGTGCATTTTGAAGGCCATCAAGCAGTAAGAATAGGGCCATTACACGAGTCCTTCTCTCAAACCTTAGTTGGCGGATTACTCCCAAAAGCGACCGCGTCTGACTGCTCGAATATTGCAAAACTCTGCGGGTTCGTACCTTTGGCCATGAAACTGTTCTGTTCCTCTATTGCTGAAGATAATGCTCAGCCGACTCAATTTTTAGTTAGCTTCAAGGAATCTATAGAAGATAACCTTTTGGAGCTGTTGGACGATTCAGATTATCCAAGCAATCTGCGATTGAAGTTCCTACTTGAATCCTCTTTTCAGAGACTCTCTCTATCAGACAAAAAAGCCCTGGTATCACTTAGTGTTCTTTCTGGAGATTTTAACCACTCAGTTGCTGCAGCTGTCATGGGTGTAAAAACAACTCTGGAGGCTAAGAAAATCTTGCATAGGCTTCGGAAAAAATCCTTCCTCGACTCTAGCTTCAAACCTGAGTCATTTTCGATGCATAAGTTGATTCTGTCATTTGTAAAGAAAAGAGGTCGAGATGAAATGAAAGAGGCCATGCTGACCTCCAAAGCACGTTTGTCTGCATTTTACGTCTCTCTTTTCGAGCAGCTAAATCAACAGTTTTTGACAGGACAATCCATGCAAGCATTTATTGACTTCTATGAAGAGAAGCAGAATATTATTCAGAGTCTTATGGAGAGCTGCTCCGATCCTAAGACATGTGACGTTGCATTTGGTGTCCTGACAAAAGCAGAAATCTTTCTAGATTCCCTTTCCTGGTGCGAAGGGAAAATTATCGACAAAATTTACGATCACGCAACTAAAGAAGCTCAGGCGTTTGGAAAAAGCGTATTCTACAGTCAGTTACTGGTGTCCTTGGCATTCACCGAACTGACTTGGGGGATACATGGAAGATCGATGACGATGCTCTCTGAAGCCGAAGGCCTTTCGTTGTCGGTAGATGATAAAAGAAAAATCCTGTCTTATAAAGGCATCTGTCAACTGGTTTCAGGCAAAATAGACGACGGAGCTCAGAACTTGCAAGAAGCTCTTTGCTTGATGAGTGACAGCCCGGAACAGCGAATTCTCAGCATAACTGCACTGCAAATTCTTGTTACTTACTTTCTTTTCAATAAAAAGAAAGCAACTTCACTAGAGTTTTATACCAAAGCTTTACATGAATGCAGAGCATTAGGAGACACAGGCCTTCTTGTTATTCCTCCGGTGAATAACAAAGATTTGACAATGATCGAAGCAGATATGCCGGAACCAGATGTTATAACCACTCAACCACTTAGATTAGAAACTATTTGCGTTGTTAGCAAAGCAACAGAAATGTTCTCTTATTACGAAACAAAGCAAGCAATAAGCAAATCTGTGCTAAGGATGTCAAATCAAACAAAAACACAGATCCTCCCACATTCCATTGGTTCATGGACCTTCCAGCGCAACATCAATTCGACACTTAAAAATGTACTGAATAATCCCGAGGAGGCATCAAAGTTGTGCGACACACGGATCAGTTATCATAAAAAGACCTTAAAACAAAGTGGAAAAGTTAACGCAGGAGATAAAGTTAGACCCAACAAAAATCTTAATTTAAATTTGCATCAAGAAGAATTATATAAAAGCTATATGGACCAAGGCAACACTCTTCTTCTGGTGCAAAACTATCCTAGAGCCATTCAGTCCTTTGAATATGCCCTTAACATCGCAAGAGGACTCTTCAAGGAAGAACACCCAGACACAGCCGAAAGTTACTTTTCTATCGGAGTAACACAACATGCTTTAGGAAATTTCTCGTCAGCACTTCAGACCGATCAGCGTGCTCTTGACATAAGAGTTAAACTCTTCGGGGAAGAACACCGAGACACAGCCAAAAGTTACTTTTCTATCGGAGTAGCACAACACGCTTTAGGAAACTTCTCGTCAGCACTTCAGTCCCATCAGCGTGCTCTTGACATAAGAGTTAAACTCTTCGGGGAAGAACACCCAGACACAGCCGAAAGTTACTTTTCTATCGGAGTAACACAACATGCTTTAGGAAATTTCTCGTCAGCACTTCAGTCCGAACAGCGTGCTCTTGATATAAGAGTTAAACTCTTCGGGGAAGAACACCGAGACACAGCCAAAAGTTACTTTTCTATCGGAGTAGCACAACACGCTTTAGGAAATTTCTCGTCAGCACTTCAGTCCCATCAGCGTGCTCTTGACACAAGAGTTAAACTCTTCGGGGAAGAACACCGAGACACAGCCAAAAGTTACTTTAATCTCGGAGTAACACAACATGCTTTAGGAAATTTCTCGTCAGCACTTCAGTCCAAACAGCGTGCTCTTGACATAAGAGTTAAACTCTTCGGGGAAGAACACCCAGACACAGCCGAAAGTTACTCTTCTATCGGAGTAACACAACATGCTTTAGGAAATTTCTCGTCAGCACTTCAGTCCAAACAGCGTGCTCTTGACATAAGAGTTAAACTCTTCGGGGAAGAACACCGAGACACAGCCAAAAGTTACTTTTCTATCGGAGTAGCACAACACGCTTTAGGAAACTTCCAAACAGCGTGCTCTTGACATAAGAGTTAAACTCTTCGGGGAAGAACACCGAGACACAGCCAAAAGTTACTTTTCTATCGGAGTAACACAACACGCTTTAGGAAATTTCTCGTCAGCACTTCAGTCCCATCAGCGTGCTCTTGACATAACAGTTAAACTCTTCGGGGAAGAACACCGAGACACAGCCAAAAGTTACTTTTCTATCGGAGCAACACAACACGCTTTAGGAAATTTCTCGTCAGCACTTCAGTCCAAAGAGCGTGCTCTTGACATAACAGTTAAACTCTTCGGGGAAGAACACCCAGACACAGCCGAAAGTTACTTTTCTATCGGAGTAACACAACATGCTTTAGGAAATTTCTCGTCAGCACTTCAGTCCTATCAGCGTGCTCTTGACATAAGAGTTAAACTCTTCGGGGAAGAACACCCAGACACAGCCGAAAGTTACTTTTCTATCGGAGTAACACAACACGCTTTAGGAAATTTCTCGTCAGCACTTCAGTCCAAACAGCGTGCTCTTGACATAACAGTGAAACTCTTCGGGGAAGAACACCCAGACACAGCCAAAAGTTACTTTTCTATCGGAGTAACACAACATGCTTTAGGAAATTTCTCGTCAGCACCTCAGTCCAAACAGCGTGCTCTTGACATAACAGTTAAACTCTTCGGGGAAGAACACCCAGACACAGCCGAAAGTTACTTTTCTATCGGAGTAACACAACATGCTTTAGGAAATTTCTCGTCAGCACTTCAGTCCTGTCAGCGTGCTCTTGACATAAGAGTTAAACTCTTCGGGGAAGAACACCCAGACACAGCCGAAAGTTACTTTTCTATCGGAGTAACACAACATGCTTTAGGAAATTTCTCGTCAGCACTTCAGTCCGATCAGCGTGCTCTTGACATAAGAGTTAAACTCTTCGGGGAAGAACACCCAGACACAGCCGAAAGTTACTTTTCTATCGGAGTAACACAACACGCTTTAGGAAATTTCTCGTCAGCACTTCAGTCCAAACAGCGTGCTCTTGACATAACAGTTAAACTCTTCGGGGAAGAACACCGAGATACAGCCAAAAGTTAGTTTAATCTCGGAGTAGCACAACATGCTTTAGGAAATTTCTCGTCAGCACTTCAGTCCAAACAGCGTGCTCTTGACATAAGAGTTAAACTCTTCGGGGAAGAACACCGAGATACAGCCAAAAGTTACTTTAATCTCGGAGTAACACAACATGCTTTAGGAAATTTCTCGTCAGCACTTCAGTCCCATCAGCGTGCTCTTGACATAAGAGTTAAACTCTTCGGGGAAGAACACCGAGACACAGCCGAAAGTTACTTTTCTATCGGAGTAACACAACATGCTTTAGAAAATTTCTCGTCAGCACTTCAGTCCCATCAGCGTGCTCTTGACATAAGAGTTAAACTCTTTGGGGAAGAACACCGAGACACAGCCAAAAGTTACTTTTCTATCGGAGTAACACAACATGCTTTAGGAAATTTCTCGTCAGCACTTCAGTCCGATCAGCGTGCTCTTGACATAAGAGTTAAACTCTTCGGGGAAGAACACCCAGACACAGTCAAAAGTTACTTTGCTATTGGAGTAACACAACATGCTTTAGGAAATTTCTCGTCAGCACTTCAGTCCCATCAGCGTGCTCTTGACATAAGAGTTAAACTCTTCGGCGAAGAACACCTAGACACAGCCGAAAGTTACTTTTCTATCGGAGTAACACAACATGCTTTAGGCAATTTCTCGTCAGCACTTTAGTTCAAACAGCGTGTTCTTGATATAAGAGTTAAACTCTTCGGGGGAGAACACCGAGACAGCCAAAAGTTACTTTAATCTCGGAGTAACACAACATGCTTTAGGCAATTTCTTGTCAGCACTTCAGTCCCATCAGCGTGCTCTTGACACAAGAGTTAAACTCTTCGGGGAAGAACACCCAGACACAGCCAAAAGTTACTTTAATCATGGAGTAACACAACATGCTTTAGGAAATTTCTCGTCAGCAGTTCAGTCCAAACAGCGTGCTCTTGACATAAGAGTTAAACTCTTCAAGGAAGAACACCCAGACACAGCCAAAAGTTCTTTTGTAGGAGTTTGCTAGGATTATAGTGAAACTAGCACTCCAACGATTTTCTTTCCTAAAGGACACCCGCGAAGGTGGGAAGTAACCTTAACAACTCAGTTGATAAAACCAAATTATCTTGCTATACTCTCCCACTGACGCAGCACCACAGTTTCTTTAGAAACTCACTCCCTTTAATGATAAAACCCAGTTGAAGGACTCCTTCCCTTTTAAGCTGTGTAGAAGAGTAAACCCCGGTCACTCTGGGAAGAAAAGGGACTCGGATTTGCAGAAAATTAAACGATTTTGGGAAAATTTGAAGGAACCATTTAGTCTTGTTTTTTTTCTTTAGCTAAAATAAAAGATTTTTAACTTCACCTCAATGTTTCTTTTCAGAAACTTCATTAAAAAACACTTCTTGTCTTAATCTGAGTTTACTCGAGATAAAAATGTCATTTTTGACGTTTAAGTGACATGGGAACGAATTAGTTGAAGAGGTTCGCGTGGCATCATGGAAGTTTCGGATTACTCATTCGTTTCGCGGGAAAATTAAGTCATTCTAGGTCGGTCAGTCTTATGTTTGACCACTTTCTTTTCTGTATTTGTTGTAATTTACAATCATTGATTTTTCTTCCTTAGTACTAGAAGACTGACTGGCTCATCCTGAATAAACTTTTCACATTGAATTTATCGTGTGAGTGTTGTCAGAATGATAACTTTACATTAACTCTAGAATATGAAAAAACTAATGAGTCCCTACCTCTCAGATCCTGTCTCAACCCGTAAAAATTTTTTCTCATTTAAAATTTAAAAAATGCACCTTAGGTTGAGGACATGAAAGATGTGAGAATGCTTTTTCTTTACAAGCTGCATCATCTGCGTGCCAACGAAGATTTCGACGAGGACTGACAAAGACGGTTTCTCGCCTGCGGTGTTCAGGTCAAGATTAGAACAAAGTACTCCTGTTACTGAATGATTAGTTAATTGCCTTCGTGTTTTGTTTTCTACGGCGAAATCTATGGTAATGATGGGTAGCTGTGTTCATTTCTGTTTACATAACATGTTATTTCTTATTTCTTTGGTTAATGCTCCAGAGTTTCGTTGCTGTAGAGTAATTTCCTTGGCTAACCAAAAGCTAACTTTTGACGAAATAATCATCTGTATCACGAGGCACGATGATTTTTCGCCTAGAAGTGATCGGGCAGTTTCAGTGCAAACTGCTCCTTTCCTCAGAGATTGTAAAGGCAGAGGCCGTCGTCGTCGAACCGGTCAAACGAAAAACGAGTGAGTTTATAGTCATCTGATTCAAGTTAATCTCAAATAGGGATCTTAATAGAGAAAAACCTTCTTTAGTTTAAGTGCGGCATTGCCATGCGACCCATTTCGCACAACACTTGGATTCGCTACCATGCATCGAATTCAATAATATTTGCGTTTCTTTAATTATCTCGTTGCAGTGCTGTTATCACAATGATATTGCTACTGTTGCTACTTTTAGTTTCTTGAGGGCAGAGGGGAATTGATGGCTCGTGGGATGGATTTTCGGAAACCTAAGTTAGGAGAATACCCTTCGAGCTTGTGTTTATGCCAGTATCCGCCAGAGGTTCACGCCACAGGATATCGGTCAGCTCAGGAAACGGCTTGAACTTTATCACAAATGATGCATTTCTGTTGTTAAAATACGACATAAACTACAATTGGTAGGATTTTCATACGATAAGAGAAAAAAGCGCAAATTTAGTCGTGTGGAAAGACAGAGAGAATGAGTACATCTCAAGCGCGTGAAATAAGGAGCTCCCTATTCTTCGCTTGCGAAATGTCAGCCGAAAAGAATGTTGAACAATCGTCTACGGTGTGGGTACAGGCTACTTAATCAGCATCCTCTTTAGCTGAATTCTTTGGTTATCTTCCCCTGATTTAACTCAGTAGTTATATATGTTCGTAACAGGCGTCTTCGAAGCCGGTACGGAGCATAAGGCCAACGACATTGAAGAGTAAAATCTCCTCGATGTCGACGATCGAGACACGTCCATTTTGGCCATATACCTACATCATTTGGAAATTAGTGTTTAAAAATACCTGATATATGTGTATTACTCTTGTAGCTATCATTTGGCGCTCCGGCCACGCATTACGTCCGTCCTTCTTTCCAGATTTTTCCTTTCTCCATCATAGCTGCCAATCGTTTTTGGCCGCGCGCTTCATGGAGACAGTTTTTGAACGCTAAATCGTACGTACCTATACATTCCTTTTAGGTTAGAGAAACCAATTTGAGCAAATAAACGACATATTATTCAAAGCCAAATTTTCTACAATTTTTTTGACACTTAATCGACGGCCATTTTGAAAACGTTCCGATCCAGGCTACGTGATGTGATACACCACACGTCTGTAAGGCAGTGAAAAGGGTAGCCTGAAAAACAGGCTTAATTTTGGCGAGCGAGTGCTAAGTATTTTCTGAACGAAAATTATGGCCGCCATCTTTGATTTTAATGGTAGCTGAAGGCTTGGGGAGAGAAAGAAATTTCTACTATGGGGGCGGTCGACGGTCAAAAATAAGAAGAAGAAGGGTGGAGGTGGAGAAGTTAAGATTCTCGCCCTGTCCCCGCCCCCGCCCCCTACCCCCACTGTTTACTCTAACTCCAAATCAAACATGGCCGGTCTGATAAACGACCGCGAGCTTATAACGTTAGCTCCCACTAATAAGAAACCTACACTGCAGGCTATGAAAAGGGTCATGCTAAGACCTGAAAGTAACAACTTCGCCCTCGCTGTTCAACCGCTACCGAGCGGAAAAAAAAATGTATTTGTTCCCATTTAGAGACTATGAAGTACGAAGCGAGAAATAAAACACTTTCCCTAGAAAGGTTGAATTATCAAAACGCGACGGATCGCGTATCTGTATTCAGAGCCACGGGTAAATTGCATGCCATACCAAACAGAGGTAAAAAAAATAGTTATATATATTATTTTTTCCTCTTGACCATGATCGAGTCTGTTACTTATAGAAATATTTTTTAGTCCAAGCCGAAAAGTATTAAACTTAAGATTTTGTCCGGTGTATATCACTGTGACCTCAAGCCCATCGATTCTGGAGTGAGCGTGACATAAGTGCAAAGTGTCGTCACGTATTATGGGAGATCTTGATCTGGTTTCGAGAACGAAACTCTTCTTCTACGCTCCGAAAATATACAAGAATTATACTTTCTGTATCTTTTTTTAACGGAGACCAGTGAGCAGCACAAAGAAAGACTACTTGGTGTTGTAACTTTTTCGACGCGTTTTGCCTGAGACTTCTTCAGGGATGATTACAATTAACATTGAACAGTATATATAACACATTCGTGTCCGTAAGTATGACTTCCAGCGGAAGTGAATAATAACAGAAACATGTTGTAAACCGACGTAACAAGAGACGTCTTATTATGAGCGCTACACTCAAGCATTGTTTCTCATTTGCGACCGGAAAATATGATGAAACAAATCTTGTCTGTAATGTTTTTTTTTTTGTTTTTTTTTTAATTGCAACACGAAGAACACTACTTTACAAAACAAGACGAACACTACTTACAATACCACCTACAAGACGTTACTTATTCTACTTACTATATAATACTTCCTTAGACTGCAATTCTTACCCTACTTTTTACAGTTTTTCGCTTACACATCTATGTATCTATTAAATTATAATTCAAAATGGGTTTCCATTTAGCCTCTAGCATCTTCCTATCATTAAACTTAGCCGCAATGTGACATTCAGTTTCATATTTTCTTTTAACTAGTTCCTTATACGAAGGGAAAAAAGGAAGACTATTATTCCTACGGCAATTCCATAAATGTAGCTTACCTAAAACGATTAAGTAATTAAATAAAGAACAATTAGTATCTGTGACACCAATTAAAATAGTCTTTAACTCAAGTTTCCTTTGTTCTTTGGCTATAGCGATCCAATAAGATTCAAATTCTTCCCAAAATGCATGTGAGTAAACACAGTAAAAGAATAAGTGATCAATTGTTTCCGCACTAGTATTGCAAAAAAGTGCAAAGATCGCTTTGTATTAAACCTATCTTAGCTAAGCGGGAATTTGTGAATAAAATGTCATTTAGTATTTTAAATTGAAAGCATTGCACATATGTCTCACAGATACAGGACCTTATTAATGAGAAGGCCTTTTTTGTTTCCACATCATCAATAGAAAATTTAGATTTCAACTTTGTGAAGCCTCTGGACTCTGTCGCCTTACTGGATATAAGCAAACCGTAGAAATCCCTAGACTTGCTAAGTGCTGGATCAAAGATTTTATCACCGATTTTAAATTGCAGTGATCTGACATGATCTTTCTTAATTTCGTGGCATCGAATTCTTAGATGACTTGGTACTGCGCAGCGAACACCAGTCCAGGTCAGAAATTTGGAATCTTTTAAACCATTACGTTTTGCAAGGTTAAAGGACTCTGTGTTACTCAAATCAAATTTTAAGTCGCTTAAAAGAATAATATTTGCGCTATTATAATTATAATAGAATAAAGGTTTGCCGTTTACTCTAATGTTATGATTGTTCCAGATGATTGTTTCACGTAGACTTACAAGGTCAAATTTAGAACGAAAATCTGACCACCAGTGTAACATCTCCTTATAAAATATTGGGGAAATGTTATAGTCATTAATATTATAATCACAATGAAGAAAAAATTTTCCACCAAAAGGTTTTAGTAAATGTAATAGATACGCTTTCCAGGGATAAAAATTATCGCTTAGAAATCTTCCAATCCATGAAAGTCGAAGTGACATAATTGACGTTGTAAAATCAGTTACCTTTAGGCCACCAAATTCAACATCATTTATTACTGCTGTCCTGGCGATTTTATCAGGACCCTTCCAAAGAAAATTATATATAATTGATTGAAGGGCCTTTATGAACTCCAAAGGAGAAAGAAGAATTGACGAGATGTATAAAACTTTAGGAAGTAGTAAACTCTTAATAATTGTAACTTTACCAAACAGAGAGAGGCCTCTCCAACTCCACAAGCGTATCTGAGATTTAATTCCTTTGAGCTTATCGTACAAAATTCTTTTGCACTGATTCTTCGTTATTGTAACTAAAGTGAACCCCTGAAGCTTTTACAGTTTTACGCCATTTTAATGCTAGAGGTGTTTCGATGTTATTACGGGAAGAGCCAATCCACATTGCTTCGGTTTTTGTATAATTCACCTTTAGGCCAGAACATTTTTGGAATTGATCAAGTAACTTAAAAAGGTATTGAGCAGATCTGATATCCGACACAAAAGCTGTTAAATCATCTGCATACTGTACCATTTTGAATTCTTTTTCATCTATTTTGATTCCATCTATTTCTGAACATGAGCGAATAGCGACTGCTAGTAGTTCCATAGCAATGATAAACAAGTAAGGAGAAAGGGGGTCTCCCTGCCTTACACCTCGATTTATTTCAAAGCTAGCTGAGAGCGTTCCATTGTTGATAATACAACTTGTTATGTTACTGTAAAAGGTTTCTATCCATCTTGTAAGACTGGATCCAAATCCAAAGACTTCTAAGCATTTGAACATAAAATTCCACTCCAGACTATCAAAAGCTTTCTCAAAATCTATAAAAAGTAGCAATCCAGGGATTTCATAAGTTTTCGTGTAATCCATTATATCTAGAATTGATCTTGCGGCTTCCCCTATGTAGCGACCTGAAACGTACCCAGTTTGATTGCTATGAATGATTTCGGGTAAAACTTTGACAATACGGGTCGCTATAACTTTGGACGCAATTTTGGCGTCGACGTTAGTCAAGGATATTGGCCTCAATTTTCTAAGTAAGTCCTATCCTTGTCCTGTTTCTCAATAAGAGTAATCACTGCCTGTCTCTGAGATGGGGACATTTCCTTCTTCATAAAAGCTTCATTAAATGAATTAATCAAAGTATCACTAAGTAATGGCCAGAAGGTGTTATAAAATTCAATGGGTAACCCGTCGTTGCCTGGCGTTTTTGCAGTTGGAAAAGTTTTGAGAACGTTCTGGCATTCTTCCGCAGTTATTCTACCCTCACATATTATTCTTGAATCATGTGAAATACTGGGTAAATTTGGACTATCGAAAAAAATCGATGATTCTGCATTATCTAGATTAACATTTCTGCTACGATATAAGTTCTTATAAAATTTGCGTTGTGAATCCATAATCATAAAGGGGTCAGTAGAAATTACACCGCTACTGTGCAGCTTTCTTACATGCTTTTTAACATGGTTGCGTTTCTCGAGATTTAAAAAATATTTGTTATTCTTTTCACCGTGTTCGTGCCATCGAGCTCTTGCGCGTAGTATAATCCCTTCTACTTTGTCCTCGTACAGTGCTTCAAGATCCTGCTTAGATTTTTCTAGTGCCAGACGCGTATTGTTACAAGGATTTGTGTGAAACATTAGGACTGCCTCCTGATAACGTTTATTTAATTCCTCTTCTTGTTTCCGTCGAGTGGAAGCTATTTGTTTGGAGAATATGATGGAGTTTGACCTTATATTAAACTTGATCCAATCCCACAAAAGTCTGGGATCATGTATATCTTTACCTGCATCCAGCCAGGTCGGTAAATTGTTTGTTATCATATGTTTATAATTTTCATTTGCCAATAGAGAAGCGTTTAGTTTCCAGAAGCCAGTTCCTCTTCCACTTGATTCGATTTCTTCAAGTTCTAAAAAAATAGCGGAATGGTCTGTTTTGATCGAGGGTATGATATCGACCTTAGTTACCAAATCATGTAATTTATCGGATATTAGCCAGTAATCTAGTCGGCAAAATATAAAAGGTGAACAACGCCCTCAGGTAAAGCTTTGCAATGTTGGGTTTTTTAGGCGCCAAATGTCGTGCAGACTGAATTCATTTTGCAATTCATCTATAGAGTTGATTACATATTTTCGAGGAATCGGTAAACCACCTTTTTTGTCAAGTGTGATGTCGAGAGGACAATTAAAATCTCCACCTATAATAATGTTTTCTTCATTACCAAATTCGTCATTTCTTAATAATTTTGATAAATTACGATAAAACTTGACAGCATCGGCGTCTTTGTTTGGGCCATATATGTTTGCAATTATGTATATCTCATTGTTAATAGCAGCTTTTAAAACAATAAACCTGCCATCCGAACTTATTTCACTTTGTTGAATAATAATGTTCAAACTATTCTTTATGAGAATTGCAACACCTCTAGCATTTGTACTGCCGTGTGAAAATAAAATAGAAGCGCCCCACTCTTTTCGCCACTGATCCTGTCGTTCTGTTGTGGAATGAGTTTCTTGTAAAAATATTAAATCGGCTTTTTGCTTTCTACACCAGGAAAAAATTGCCCTACGTTTATGAAAGTTGCTTAGGCCTCTAACATTCAAGGAAAGAAATTTGATGCTTTCAGGCTTAGCTTTCGAATTATGCATTCTTAATGCAAGAATAATTAAGTGTTATCACATTTATAATAGGTGCTATTTGCTCGGAAAATGAATAGAATAGCAAAACAAATGTAAAAGTAGTGAGAGAATAATTTAAGTTTTGAACAAGAAGTACAACACAGACACAAAACAACAACACACAAAATATACAAACAAACGAAAGCGCACTTACCATCTCGGTTGCTGCACACTTTCGCCGAGATCTCCATGGCAAATGGTTGTATTATACTATGGTATTAAAAGTGACAAGCAGTTTTGCCTGCGCCGAAATTGTAAACAAAACTATAAATCATACAGTTCATTTAGCTATAAATACAATTACGCAGTATATAATGACAACAAAACAGCAACATAAGGATTACTCATGTCTGATTTTAAAGGACTTGAGACCTTCAGAATCGATTTCTTTACACAGTATCTGCGCGGGAACTGACCATGGGATGAACGCGAACTGGACTCCTTCTCTTTCTTTAAGTTGCTTTAAATGATCTTTCCGTAGTTTGGCTCTTTCACTTCGAACTGATTTTGACACGTCGTCGGATATGAATATCTGACTGTCGCAGAAAGGGTTATCTTTCAGGGTGTTCGCTGCAGCCTTTAAAATTCGTCCTTTATCAGGATATCTAAGTAAGTAGACATGGATAGGCCTTGACTGCGGAGCGGTAGCGCTCGCAGCCGCTTGGTTGATCTTCGTACGGTGCGCTCACATGACTTCAATATTATCGAGGCCCATGTGCTTACTGAAAAGTTCTTCCTCTAAGAATTCTTCTACGGAGCTGCAATCTTTTTCGGCGCCTTCCTTTAAACCCCATATAACCACGTTGTTCCTCTTGGACCTGTTCTCTAAGTCTTCAATTTTTTTGTTCAGGGCGTCTATCTCTTTGCGGTTCGCCTTCTCTGCAAGAGCGCTTTTAACCTCGGTCACATCGTGGTCTAAAAGTTTAAAACTATCTTTCAATTCGTCGACATCCTGAGCGGTTTTCTTTTGACTTTTTCCAAACTTTCTAGCTTCATCAGGATGGCGTTCAACTTCGACTCTTGTTCATCTTTAGCGGCGAGCAATTCGTCCATCTTCGCAAGTACTGCGTCTAGCTTCGCTTCAGTGTCGGGCATTTCGGTTCGTTGCTTTGCTTTCGACCTTGTTCGTCTAGCAGACATTCGCTTGTCACCAATTAAGAAACTCAAAAGATTATAACGCGGTCATAGTAACCTATTAAGGATCAAAATTTTGAAAGTTTCATAGAGAGAGCTCGGAGCCGCGTCCGTTCAGCTTGGTGTCATCACGTGACTCCTCTTGTCTGTAATGTTACTCGTTTTTTTGAAACGAGTAACATTGTCTGTAATGTTACTCGTTTCAAAAGTGTACCACTGTCAGCTGAGTGAACAGTAAATTACTCACGCTTGTTTATCGTAAATAAAACAAGCCGACAGCCTGAGAGAGGAAGCCATGAAAGCACATGTCATGAGACTGCCTAGCACCCATAGTATTAAACGCAATATCTTGGTTAAGAAAACGAACCGAGTAAGCGACCCAATCGTGTGACGGAAATAACAAGCTCGTAATAAGGTAATATTGAAGAAGGTATTGGCTATTTCTGTTAAGACTAAGTCAGGGAATTTTGAAGAGCAGGCGTGTTTGTGAGTCGTCTATTTTTTTTGTTTTTTTGTTTTTTCATCTTTCAAGCAACCAGAAGTAAGCGTTAGGTGAGCGCTATGGATGAAAAAAAAGTTATTCCTGCTCTATCGCGTGTTTTGAGAAAGCATTGTTCAGGGGGCCATGTTTATTTCAAAAAGGAAATTGAGCAATGCTGAGTGTATTGACCAGATTAAAGGGGAATTTCCCCTTCTAAGGCGCGTTTGACCAGTAAACATCACGCCACATTTCTCGAGAACAATTAATTCTTCATTGCTTAGGCATTTAGGATAGTAAGGGTCAGTGTAGAATTCCTGTGTGGTATGAATAGGTAGTCATAACACAACCACTCTCCGGATAAATTTCGAGTTGCATTCTCGCAGTTCGTCCAATAATCATTCAGATAATCAGTTTGTGCGTCTGCCATCATGATATTTCTCGCTCTAACTTGAAATTCGAGGTAGGTGAGTAACAGTTTTCTTCAACTACACCTTGAGTTGTTCATTATCGCCACTGTGTGTTTGTCGACGAATCCGGTGACAACTTTTGGACGGCCAGAAGTCACGGTAAAGCGCAGTAGGGAGAATCTGATTTACGCGCAGATGATCGCTTTTTGTCGCTTAGGAATGTAACTTCACGCAATTGTTCGCCTTTTCAAACAAATGAATGCGTATTTTCGCGTAATGAACAGCAAAAGGTTTATTAACGAACGTTTTGAGCCGCTTTTAGCAGAAATTAAAACGCAATCTTTTGTACCCTTCAATTTCCTGTTATCATCAGTTGCGCAATAATTTGTTTCTTCGTGCTTGTCGTTCATGCCATGCAAGTTCGTAATCCCATTTATTTAGGATATCTTGTTGGAAGTTAATACTTTGAAAACTTGAAAGAGTTTTGAAATTTCATACACATGTAAATCAAAATAGCGTGATATTATGATATCAAACGTGAAATTATTTCAAACTGTTTGCTGGCAAAGAAAAGTTTGTATCAATAAAGTGGAGTTGAGGTTTGATAAAAACTAGGTTTTGACACTAAACTAAGCTTATTGAAGTGAATTTTTGAAGGACTTTAATTTCTACGATGCACATTCATCCTATAGCGTCACAATCTTCGATTTCTCGGTTTCCGCATTTTAATAAGATACAATTGTTTCGCTTGAACCTCGAGGGAGAAATCTGTTAGTTTTAATTACAAAGTGCTGAGAATTGGCATCCAAACAGAAAGCAGATTCAAAGCGTACATCTTTATTCTAATTAAAGTAGAGATGAGTTTTCACCTTTTCTCAAGTCAATTAAGCTGTGTAGCCACTTTCCGTAATTATGCCGTTATGCGCAATTGATAGAGTCAGTGCGCATGTGCGATTTAGTATTTATTCAAACGCGAATAACATGACCAAAGAACTTTTTACCTTTTCCTCTCACATATATCAATCGCTGTTTAATTTCACTTAATATGTATCTATGCTTGAACAAATTGAATCTTTCTCAGGATTTTGGTCGAGGATAGCTATCTCCAGAGCTAACGCCGATTATGGCTCTACAGCCTTTTACAAACGAACAGCTGAATTACTTCAAATTTGCCTCAGTTGTACTCAATGAGTTCGCCATTGCTTTGCGTCAGACGTTCAAATCCATGTGGGACAACAGATTTGGACATCGTCCCGGATATCAACTGTGGGATAACTCCACGGTAGTAAGAAATTTGTTTCTAGCTGAAGAAGGTGGAAAAAGCAAAGTTCCTACACACATCTCCTATGAAGAATGGGATTGTACCGCCCTCTTCCAGGCCACCATCTATGCAAAGTCCTTCGCTACGCCAGATAGCAAAGGTCATTACAAGACACTCAGTGAAATGTACGTAAGGCACCATAAAGTACCTCGTGGAAAGTTCCATCCATCTGTTGTGAGTCCAAGTAGAAATGCAGCCGAAACCTTCGCTCTTGCGATTGATCAGCTTCGACTTTTACGAAACTCCCTTTGTCACGCAGACAGGTCAGAGATTGATAAACCAACCTTTGACCAACACGTGAAGCTTGCTAAAGAAGCATTCAAAGCTCTTGGAATCCTAACAGATCCCATTGATGCCATTGGTGGACTGACAGAGTCTGACTTTCCCACCAAAGAAGTTCGCAAATTGGAAGAAAGTCTTAGGCAGGAGACCAGATCATACATCGAGTGTCTCGAAGAACTAAGATCAGGTGTCGAGTGTCTCGAAGAAGTGAAATCAGGTGTCGATAAATTAATAGCACAGGGGAATGCGATAAAAGGAAAAGTTGATGACCTCGCTTTGTTGAAGGGAGAAATAGATGATTTGAAACTAAACATGGATGAAGATCAAACAGGTATAAACTGATTAAAAGCTTTACAGAATTTTTTGATTAACAACACTTTAAGATGCAATATGGCGGTCTTATAACCATTAGTTTGGCAGGGAGGAACTGAAAAGAAATAGCAGCGTTTCTGCTCTTTACTCTAGTAACAATAGTTCAACGGGGCAACTTCCAGTTTTCGCAAAAGTGCTTCGTACATGTCTTGAAAATCCTGTCTTCTTCCCTAAGATGAATTTATTCTATAATCAGAATACCACCTTAAACAATCTGTTATCTTTTATTTTAAAACGATTTGTTTAAGAAGTAAGCCGCAGCCACTATATTTACCGGCATCGTGACTCTTGTGGGATGTTGTTAAGATTACAACCTCACGGAAAGAGCAAGAAGCTCATGATTAAAGCTGTGTCCCTAAATCATGATTTCCACATTTTTAATGGTACAGTAAAATGTACTATTTATTATCATTGTTATTTTTCTCTTCCAACTACCGACATGAGCTCTTTCATAATTGCATCAATTTGCTTCTTTTAAGATTCAAAGCCATTCCTTCCACCATCAAATCTTCCTTCAAAGGTTCCACACTTCACTGGTCGTCAGAGAGAATGTGAAGACATCAGCAGTCACTTAACTTCCAAACGTTCCCGGATCGTGTCGGTATGGGGCTCGCCTGGTTTTGGTAAGACTTCTGTGGCAACTGAAGTCGGACATCGACTTCAAACTGGTGGACTTCTCGTATACTTCTTCTCCATGAGAGGGCTTCTTTCAAAGGCCGATCTGACCACGCAGCTTCGGAGCTTCTTTAGAAGACACTCCACAAGAGATCAAATTCCTCAGCAGATGTCCATAGAAGAAGAACTTTTTCTCTTTCTAAGAGACATTTCAGGTGAATTTGTGATGATTCTTGACAATGCCGATGAATTACTCGAAAGTGGAGCACCGAATGTGAAGGAGGATTTCATAAACCTTCTGGAAGTCATTCTTAGTCAATTCAAGAATTTAACATTTCTTCTTACCACAAGGGAATCTCTCGAGTTTATGAATGTGCATTTTGAAGGCCATCAAGCAGTAAGAATAGGGCCATTACACGAGTCCTTCTCTCAAACCTTAGTCGGCGGATTACTTCCTAAAGCGACCGCGTCTGACTGCTCGAAAATTGCGAAAATCTGCGGGTTCGTACCTTTGGCCATGAAACTGTTGTGTTCTTCCATTACTGAAGATAATGCTCAGCCGAGTCAATTTTTAGATACCTTCAAGGAATCAATAGAAAGTAGCCTTTTCGAGCTATTGGACAATCCAGATTATCCAAGCTATCTGCGACTAAAGTTCCTATTTGAATCCTCTTTTCAGAGACTGTCTTTATCTGAAAAAGAAGCGCTGGTATCACTTAGTGTTCTTTCTGGAGATTTTAACCACTCAGTTGCTACAGCTGTCATGGGTGTAAAAACAACCCTGGAGGCCAAGAAAATCTTGCATAGGCTTCGGAGAAAATCTTTCCTCGACTCTAGTTCCAAACCTGAGTCATTTTCGATCCATAGGTTGATTCTGTCGTTTGCAAGAGGAAGAGGTCAAGATGAAATGAAAGAAACCATGCTGAACTCCAAAGCACGTTTGTCTGCATTTTACGTCTCTCTTTTCGACAAGCTAAATAAACAGTTTTTGACGGGACAATCCATGCAAGCATTTATTGATTTCTATGAAGAGAAGCAGAATATTATTCAGAGTCTTATGGAGAGCTGCTCCGATCCCAAGACATGTGACGTTTCATTTGGTGTCCTGACAAAGGCGGAAATCTTTCTAGATTCCCTTTTCTGGTGCGAGGGAAAAATTATCGACAAAATTTATGATCACGCAACTGAAAAAGCTCAGGCGTTTGGAAAGAGCGTGTTCTACAGTCAGTTACTGTTGTCCTTGGCATTCACCGAAGTGACTTGGGGGATACATGGAAGATCGATGACGCTGCTCTCTAAAGCCGAGGTCTTTTCTTTGTCGGTAGATGATAAAAGAAAACTCCTTTGTTATAAAGGCATCTGTCAACTGGTTTCAGGGAAAATAGATGACGGAGCTGAGAACTTACAAAAAGCTCTTTGCTTGGTGAGTGATAGCCCCGAACTGCGAATTCTCAGAGTAATTGCACTGCAAATTCTTGTTACTTACTTTCTTTTCAAGAAAAAGAAAGCAACTTCTCTGGAGCTTTACACCACAGCCTTACATGAATGCAGAGCATTAGGAGACACAAGTCTCCTTGTTATTCCTCCAGTGAATAACAAAGAATTGAGAATGATCGAGGCAGATATGCCAAAGGCAGATGTTACAACCACTCAACCACTTGGATTAGAAATGATATGCGTTGTTAGCAAAGCGACGGAAATGTCCTCTGATTATGAAACAAAGCAAGCAATAAGCAAATCTTTACTAAGGATGTCAAATGAAATAGATAAACAGATCCTTCCACATTCCATTGGTTCATGGACCTTCCAGCGCAACGTCAATTCGACACTTACAAATGTACTGAATAATCCCGAGGAAGCAACAAAGTTGTGGGACACATGGATAAATTATCATAAAATGACCATAAAACAAAGTGGAAAAGTTAATGCAGGAGATAAAGCTAAACCCAACAAACATCTTGATTTAAATTGGCATCAAGAAGGACTACTAAGAAGCTATTTGGACCGTGGCTGCGCTATTCATCAGATGCAAAACTATCCTGGTGCCATTCAGTCCTTTCAACTTGCCCTCGACATTGCAATAGGACTCTTCGGGGAAGAACACCCAGACACAGCTCAAAGTTACTTTTCTCTCGGAGAAACACAATATGCCTCAAGCGACTTCTCGTCAGCAGTTACGTCTTTTCAGCATGCTCTCAAAATTAGAACTAAACTCTTCGGGAAAGAACATCCAGATACAGCTCAGAGTTACTTTTCTCTAGGAGTAACCCAACATGCCTCAGGCGACTTTTTGTCGGCGCTTCAGTCCAAACAGTGTGCTCTTGACATAAGAGTTAAACTCCTCGGGGAAGAACACCCAGACACAGCGAAGAGTTACTTGTCTCTCGGAAAAACCCAGCACGCCTCAGGCGACGTTTTGTCAGCCTCCAGTCCAAACAGCGTGCTCTTGACATTAGAATTAAACTGTTTGAAGAAGAACACCCAGAGGAAGCTAAGAGTTACTTTGACCTCGGAGTAGCACAACATGCCTCAGAAGATTTTTTGTCAGCACTTCAGTCCAAACAGTGTGCTCTTGACATAAGAGTGAAACTCTTTGGGGAAGAACATTCAGACACAGCTCAGAGTTACTTTTCTCTTGGAGTAACCCAACATGCCTTAGGCGACTTTTTGTCAGCACTTCAGTCCAAACAGCGTGCTCTTGACATAAGAGTTAAACTTTTTGGGGAGGAACACCCAGACACAGCTAAGAGTTACTTTGACCTCGGAGTAACACATGCCTCAGGCGACTTTTTGTCCGCACTTCAGTCCAAACAGCGAGCTCTTGACATAAGAGTTAGACTCTTCAAGGAAGAACACCCAGACACAGCCGAAAGTTACTTTTCTATCGCAGTAATACAACATGCTTTAGGCAATTTCTCGTCAGCACTTCAGTCCAAACAGTGTGCTCTTGACATAAGAGTTAAACTTTTTGGGGAAGAACACCCAGACACAGCTAAGAGTTACTTTGACCTCGGTGTTACTCAACATGGCTTAGGCCACTTTTTGTCAGCACTTCAGTCCAAACAGCATGCTCTTGACATAAGAGTTAAACTCTTCGGGGAAGAACATCCAGATACAGCTGAGTATTACTTCTCTCTCGGAGAAACCCAGTTTACCTTAGGCGACGTTTTGTCAGCACTTCAGTCTTTTCAGCATGCCCTTGAAATCAGAATTAAACTCTTATCGGAAGAAGAACCAAACAAAGCTTAGTGTTACTTTTCTCTCGGAGAAACACAACATGCTTTAAGCGACTTCTCGTCAGGAGTTCAGTCTTTTCAGCCTGCTCTTGAAATTAGAGCTAGACGATAGTTACTTTACTCTCGAAGTATTCCAACATGCCTCAGGCGACTTTTTGTCAGCACTTGAGTCCAAACAGCGTGCTCTTGACATTAGAGACTATTCGGGGAAAACATCCAGACACACCTCAGCGTTACGTTTATCTCGGAGAAACACAAAGTGCCTTAGGCAATTTCTTGTCAGCACTTCAGTTTGATCAGCGCGCTCTTACAGTTTTACAATTAAAATGAAAGATTTTTCGCTTCATTTCAACGTTTCATTGCAGAAACTCGATTAAAAACATTTCATGTCTCAATATGAGTTTATTTGAGATGAAGACAAGTTTACATTCACTCTATAATATGAAAAAATAAATAAATTCCCACAGAATCAAGGTCTCAATATCCCTGACTTCTCTGCTTTTTGTTTTTGTTTACACCATAATCTTGTTAATGTTCGTGTATCCAGTCCCTACACATGATAGCAAGATTTTACTCTCTCCTCCTGCTACACTGTTGTCATCATCACTCTGTTGTGCTTGTATTTTGAACATCACTCCAAAATAATCTTTTAGATGCCTCAAAAATTGAATGCTGTAAAAGAGTTGATAATAGCACTGAGAAAATTTTAAAAAAATTATTGAGTAGAAAGAAAACAATAACATTTATCATGACATTGATAATGAACCTTCCACCACCAAGCTGTCTCTCCCCTCCCTCCCCACTTACTTTTCTCCATTTCTCCTTCCTTCCAACACTTTCCTTTCTTCCTGTCTATCTCACCTCTCTTTCATCTCCTTCTATTCTTCACCATCTTCCTTTCTTCCCTCTCTTCCTATTATCCATTCGACCTTTCCTCTCTATCTGAGCTGCACTCGTCTTCATTTCCCATCATCCTCTTCACCTCACCTCCCTGCCACCCTGTCCTTCTCCTTCTTCCTATCTCTCCTCTCTTCTTTAACTTTTCCTTCCTCATCATCTCCTCTCCTTCTCTCTTTCCCTCTCCACCCCTCTGTCTCCCTCCATTTCCCCTCCCTCCCTCCCTCCCTCCCTGTCCTCCTCTAAGTTTCTCTCCCTCCTCCTGCCCCCCTGCTACCTCATTCCCCTCCACTGTGCCCTCCATATACCCCCTACAATGCTTCTATCCTCTCTCCATTCCCACTCCCCCCCTGTCTCCTCCTTTGTGTCCTCCATCATACTCCCTAACACTGCCTCTTCCCACTTTTCAATCTCTCTGTTTCTCCTCCTTCTCCCTTCTCTCCTTTTTGCAATTGAATGAGAGTCAGACTGATGCCAAGCAGTTAAAAAAATCGTTCCAAATAACACACAACAGATCATAACTCCAGCAAACAGAAAATTGTGTGAATTTATTTACTCTTTTCACTGATAGACATTATCAACTACTTACGTATATGGAGTCAGTGGACCAGTGAGAATTTTAGAAACATCCCTTTGTCCCAGAATCATGTAAAGGAGAACAACACTCTGATGGCGAGAGTCAACACAGCCTCCCTATCAAAGGAGACAGATAAATAATAATGGTGAGTCTTATTTCAGAATATACAGCTATACTTTAATCATTGTTTTAAAAGCTAGTATGAGTGTAAGCCTGATCACCAGCTGCCAAGAGTTCTTAATGAAGTGCATTAAGATTGAGTGTCGTACATCCAAAACTGAAAGCAATCACAGTAGCCAACCAGAACAAAGGAACATATCATGAGCCAATGAAGGATCCAAGTATAAATAAAGAAACTGACCAAAGCTGGAAAAACCTTACCTTGTAAATTTCTTCAAGTAACATTTCAGCTGCCTGTTTGCCAAGATCCTCAGGGACAACTGGCTGACCCTCCCCTACTGGGGTAGATGATGTCTGAACACTTAGCATGGCACCAGTTGTTGATTCTGCAACTAATGAGATCCCAAACCCTGGTGACCTGGAGGAAGACATTTTTAATCATGATTATCATTAATCTGATGACTAATGGTGTACCATGCTTATGACAAAAGAACACATTGCATCTCTGGTTTTAAGAGACTCTGAAAAGCTTGCTTATCGTAATATCACCAGCACAACAGAAGTGCACTGACTCAGTTGCATTAGCAAATCTGGGCGTGAGATCTAGCAAGTGCTATAACTTTGCCTTCTTGGACAAGACACCTTACCCTCACAGTTCCTCTCTCTGCTCAGGAGTATGAATGGGTACTGATAACTTCTTAAGTAAATCTAAAAAATGCCAAGGACAATTTACAATGGATGGTCACCTCTTACAGGGGAGGGGGAGGAGTAGTAAAACTTCTTATAAATTTTGCCACTTTGGATATTATGAAATATGGTTGTCGTCTTCTTGTGAGCACAGGACAAAGAAAAAATTCTGAGTCCCCATGAGGAATTGAACCTCAGACCTTCAGATTCCACACTCCCATGCTCTACCACTGAGCCACAGAGATCCTAAGGCCCATTATGAATTTCATATATGACACATATCCTGCACTCTGCTAGGATCAGCAATGTCGATAGCACCACGTTTTGCAAATAGAAGAAGATGGTAAGCTTTGAGCTCAGTAGAGAAATATAGAAAGATAATTTTTTTGTCTTGTTGTGGATATTTACTGCATGAATTGTGGTGAAACATGCTGATTCCCTGGTAAAAAAGTTAAAGGTTTGTTGTAAAATGACATACTTTCCAGATTGACCTCCTTTGCTGTGATCTGTATAAATGTAGATATCAGACACAAACTGGTTCAAAACACCACGGACTGCATCAACCACCCTATTACAAATAGCTGGAGAAACTCTCATAGCATACCTGTTTAAGGTTTGGTTAAGGCAATCAGCTTTTATCAAAAAAAAATAGTGATATATGTGAAATGGTCTCTATAACAGTAAAAACATTATCACAACAACTCAAAATATCTTTTATTTTGACAGCAGCAATACTAGTCGTAGAAGTCGTTGAAGCTAAAATCATAAATTATTTAAGAGAACTGCGCCAAGAGCAACTTTTGGTAAACTGACTTCAAAAGTGATAATCCATAGAAGAAACTGGCTTTAAATACAAGAGGACTTTGAATTAACAGGCAGTATGGAAATGTGAGAAAAGGTGTGCCTGATGAGGAAAAATGCTGACAAATTTAGCAAAAAACATTTACAAGGAGGTATGAAAAATATAAAGAATGATACAAGTCGATACGAATTACAAGAAAAATAATAAGCAAGCAGTTGATCTTACAGTCCCTGTAATAAAGTTATAACACTTATACCAAGGGAAAAAGTAAAGGATACACAAGGCCTCTTATTCTTTTTATCTTGCCAGGATCTGTGAATTGTAATGGCCGCAAGTTTCTCCTCACAGGACAAGAGAATACCACCTCCCCTCCTCCCCCTGGAGGTGCTCCCCTTTTCACAATCTGTGACAAAAAAAAGTCAGTGAAATGATAATATTATATTTCATAGTGTTTTGAACAGCTATGTAAATAAATTGCAACAAATTAAAGAAATTGATGAAAAGGAAAGGAGTTAAAATCCAATGGGATTGTCTTAGACACCAATTTTGCCATTGTTTTGGTAAAAATATGGCCCCTATAATGTTTAGTGAGAATGATCTACTGCAGTCCTCTTTCCTCTACTAACCAGAAAAAAGCACTTTCACAATATTATTTGACTCAATATTAATTTTTGATGTACTTCATCTTTTGTCTTCCTCTTTGATCTAAGCCATTTTAGTTATGCCTAGTTTAGTGAATAACTTTTTATCCTAAATTAAGGGGCACTATATGAGGTATCTTGATGTGCGCCTCTACTCTCTGCTCTAATATTTCAATATACATAATTAGAATTGCTTAGTTATTATGGTGACCTTGTTGATTACATAACTTAGTTTGCTACTTCAAGGAGAGGAGATATATTCAATCCTGTTGAAAGAGGCAGCTGAGTCATATTATTTAACTTTCTTTCCAACTAAGTTCACTGATGGTACAATTAATGCTTGACTCAATCTTTTGCATGTGTTAAAATTCTACTTGGAAAATCATTAATAATGATAATCATAATAATAATAATTAAATTCATTAATAATAGCTAATGATACCTTTAAATCTAAGCCTTCATCATCCACCACAAACTTCTTTACCAGAGGGAGAGTAACTGTTTTAATGATGTCAACCTAAAATAGCATAATTCAGCAATCATCAAATTCTAGGAAAGGCACATTTCTCAGAAGTAATCTAATTATGCACCTCTATACAAGCTCATTTTCCATCTTATTTTTGTCTACACTGTTAGATATGAAATGAGAGTTTTTACAAAACAGAGAGAAACTGGAAAATATCAACACAAAATTTGAATTAACATTTGATCTTTTTTGCATTTAACTCTTTACAACCTCACATCAGTATCCATATTTGATGTACTGTTTGATTCTTTATATATTTGCTTTGGTGATGACAAGGAAAATTTGTCCAACAGTCAAAGCTTCTTGTGTTGGTGATCATTTCTGTTATTCTCATGATCTTCTTGAATTATACAGCAGTGTACTTTAAGGAGAAGTCAGAAGCTCATCACTCTGAGGGCTTAAAGGGTCAATTCTCCGAAATAAAAAAATATGATATTATTTCTGGCTTACTGTTGGATCATGTCTGTCATTTGTTATTCCTTTCAGAGTAAGTCTGATAGGTTTCTTGCAAAATGGTGCCAGCAGCACCACTGCTTCTAGGTAATAACCAATGGATCTTTGAGGATTACAGTCATGGTCAATGGTCCCTCCAGTTAACAGGCCAGGTTTATAAAACAGCATTGTACCTTTGGAAAAGTAAACAAAATATCCAAACATAAGGATAATATAGCTTTAATAATTTGGCCCCATTAGGAAGGGGGGGGGGGGTTCAGGTGTCCCCTATAGTATTAATGTTTGGCTTAAACATCCTGTATCCTATTACTTCCTGAAGTTTCTATCCTAAAATTCAAGTTTACATCCTGGAATATCTATTTTAAATATCCCTTTAATTTTTTCCTTAAGTATCCCGTATCCCTATAACCTTTTAGCCAAATATTCCGTATCCCGATAATCCCTAATAGGACCTCTATAATGGACATTACCCGGCCGGGCAGTGCTATCATTCATTAAAAACTTATAAACAAATAACGAGAATTACCTGACAAATGATCTGAAGTCTTACCTGTTTCATTAATTTCTATTCGTGATCCGTTTGTTACCTTGTCCAGGAGCCGTATAAAACTTGCTTCAAAATCTTTAAAGGGTTACACAGACAGCAAAAATTCTCAAATTAGACAGCAAAACACGAAGCATATTTTATATAATTTTTCTATAGCTGAAGTTAGCAGCTGAAAAGGCTGTGATTTCTATAATCAGTTCGATAATGGACGCACCTTTCAGCCCAGGATCGTCTTCAACAGCTCTTATGTTTTTTATTTTCACTGATTTACCGCTAAGCGTCGCCAAAACAAGTCTTTGTCGGAAAAAATTACAACCTTCGTATGTCAAATCAGCCGCCATGTTGAAAAACGCACGTGGGTGACCTTTCCACTCGTCATATATGATATACTCTTTTACTCTGGATTTTGCTGCTGGACCAGTAACTTACGTTTTCGTTTAAAATGGCGGACGACGATTTGGAAGGGTGAGTGACAATGACATTCCAAATCAGCGAATCTTGAGATCTTTTCCGCGGTGATTCCCTTGTACATAACTAATTACCGAATTCACGTTTTGACGCATTTTAAACATCGATCAAAGTCATTTCTTGTGGTAGTGGTTGATAATAGCGGAAACGAAGCAATCGTTGTCCAATTTACTTTCTAACAGCAAAAGTCGCGATGGAGAACTTTCTCGATTTTCTTCTAGGTATGACGATGACCTCGATGAGGTTGAAGAAGAAGACCACTTTGAACATGAAGATGACTTAGAGGTAAGCTTTCTAGCCATTGTTTTCTGAATAAGTTAATTTAGTGGATCTACCATAATTTTGACAACGCACGTGTAATTTCGGTTACATGTGAGTCAAACAACACTTACTGATTATCAGAATCAAGCAGGTGGAAATTTTTAGTTTAATATAGTAACGATATTATTAGAGCGGATATTGATGGTATTTTTCCCGACAATGTAGAATGACGTCCCAGTTTGAAGGCACTTACATTTCTTTCAAACTCAGAAAACCATCGTGTCTGGAATAATAATGTGTCATGACCAATCATATGTGAGATCAGGATATGTAAGCAAAATTAAATACTAGAGCACAAACTAATCAGCGTTTACTGCGTGAGGTTGAGATTTCTCACACCTGACTGATAGCTGGCTGCCATGTTTTCTTGGATAGATCAAATTTTACAAAGTAACATTTGGTCTGAAGTTCATAATTTTCTGAGTTTCACTGTAATCAAGAGTGGTAAAAGACTTCTTTATAACTATTTTCCTTTCCTGGTGGAGGTTGTATCTAATATCCTATTGTGTTTTTTTCAGCCAACAGAAGACACAGATAATATTGACATTTTGCCCACAACAGGTATGGTTTGCAGTAATTTTTGAACAGTATTCTATAAAATCTCAGTTAAATAAGGTAATCCATGAGAACAAAACCAAAAACTCCAGAAGTTGTGGCCACTTGGTCTCAAAGATTTAACCATGTTAATTATAAGACACAGGATGAAGAAATGTTTCTTGCATTTCATTTTATTAAAGTAGGGAAGTTGCATGATCCTTCAAAGTTGCTACTACAACCCTTATAAGTGAACATTTATCAGTGAATATTGAATAATATTTAATAACAGTTTCTGAACATTTTCATGGCTTTAATGTGATTTTAATTCCCTCTTTTTATGTCAATTTGCAGAAGAAAGCCAAGAACCAACAAAAAGAATCACAACACCATATATGACAAAATATGAGAGAGCAAGAGTATTAGGAACTAGAGCACTACAGATAAGGTACTTGACCCTTTAACTCTCAGAAGTGATTAACATAAAACTTCTCCCTATAATATCCATACATTCTTCAGCAAACAGGTAATGAGAATATTCAAACTTCACAAGTTGAAGCTGCTATTTTGATCCAGCATTAACTTCTCATAACTAATTTACAAGGAAATGTGTAGCAGCTACAGGGGAGAATCAACAATCAGATCTTGATAGTTAAAAGGTTGACCAGAGTATTTAAGCTAAAGCTTACAGCGTAAGTAGTTTAACAGCCAGTACAAAGTTGCCTCAGCAATGTAATCCAAAGAGAGCTTTTAACATCTCTACTTAGATCTCTTTTTTGTGAGAGTTGATGTGTGCTAAACCAGAATAAACTTCCACATGGAAATCAAGGGTTACTTATCCATAGTGGGCAGCATAGCCAATGGGATTGCAGCGTATGTGATATAATGCATGCAGATTTACAATATTATTCATTAGACTATATGATAACTGAACCTGGAAAAATAATTGCAGGAGCACATCAGTTACAGAAGTTGTAGGCCTCTTAATTCTTTTTCGATATTATTTCAGAGCAACAAACATCCCCATTATTATTCAGCAATATCTTCCAGACAATTTAAAGCCACAAAGACTGGGCGATAGATGAATTTATCATCACAGAATAAAACTGCATTGGTGGTAGTTTAGTTGTCAGCAGTTATTTTATGTTTTTGATGTGCTTCTTTGTTCATTTTATGTCCATAAACTAAAATTCTTCATTTTCCTTTTTTTTTCACCCCACCCATGAGAGTTCTGTACTTCTGCAAGGTTTTATATCAGGGTTACACTAAATTGGAGAAACAAAATTTTCTGAGGGAAAAAAAAGTTTTTATCTAATCACGTACATCCAATATTCTGCTACTGTTGTGACATTTTACACGATTATTCGATGCCTCTGCAGTCAAACATTTAATATTGACTCTTGTTCAAGTCCAGCCACTGAACCTTAAAAATTTTGAATTTTTAAAAAATGTTTGGCATCCAACTCTTGGTTTTTTTTTTTTAACACATTTATTCCCAAGATCTTATTGTTAATTCTCCCTTCTGGCTGCTACACATTTCCCTGTAAATTATTTGGGAGAATTTGATGTAAGATGGGGATAACAACTTCTACCTGATAAGTTTGAATTTTCTCACTATCTGCTTGCTGGATATTGCATGGATATTTTAGGGAGAAAAAGTCATGTTAATCACTTTCAAGAGTGAAAGGGTTAACAAAATGTTCTCCTTAACGTGCATGTAATAAAAGGAAGGTTACATAAACTGTTAATCATATCTTGATATTCAAATAGAGAACTATTATGTAATATTTGTTACAATTCCAAATAAAGGAATTTAGAATTGAATACCTTTTTTCGTCAATAAACTATTCTTAAAAAAGTGCTCTAAAATAAAATGATGACCAGTCTCAGGAAGCCCTCCCCTGCTCCACAGCAAATTATTGCATTTTCTTTTCCCATTTGTGACCTGGCCCTATTCATTTTTGCTTCAATTTTTATTTTTATTTTAAATAGATTTTTCAGGAAGCTCCACCTGTAACCTCTGTTTGCCCAGCTTTGTCTAAAGAGGACCATATTGTATGTGCAGTAAATCATTTGTGTCAGAAAATGAGGTCAAAAGATGTGAAAGACCTCAATTCCTCCCTTAAAGAGGATGTCATTCCTCCAGGGTTTTACTAAGTGGAGGCGAAAGTAAAGAAGTAGCACCACCTTTCTTTTTGGCTACAGAGCAACAGCTGAGTCAGCTTGCTGCAACAAAAACTTGGTACACTAACAGAAATGACGAGATAGTTAAAGACCCAAGTTTCACAACTTGTATCAATTAGTGCTTTTGTTACATCTGGGGAGTCTGCAAAACAAGTGCCATTAGCGATGCCTTAATGTCTTCAAAGAAGAAGAGAGATTACAAGGAGGTTAGTATACATATAATTCCCTTTAAATGCTCATTCTTATCTTTTTAAAAGGAAAATAATGGTTAGAGCACTCTTCAAGTGCAATTTCTAATATCAAAACCGAAGTTACCTTGACAGCCAATTGGAACAAAGGAAAATGTACTCATGTAAAGACAAAAAAAACTCTCTTTGAATGTATTATTGTTCCTTTATCTATCAGATTTTGAGAGAGATCACCCATCTTCTACCTGGGGAATGGCTTCATGTGCAATTTGTTATAGCAGATTTTGACAAGGCATTGTGGGGAGCACTTCAGTCTATTTTCCCACATGTAAAGCTGCAGGGATGTCCTCTACATTGAACCCAGTTGGTGTGGAAAAAGGTAAACTGAATTTGTCAAGTTAAGTTTCATGCACTTGTACCATCATCTGAGCTCCTTGCACCAGCAGAATTACAGTTTTAGGCCATCAAGCTTTTTGACCAACCTTCTCTTTTCTTATCAGCCACCCTGACATGCTCCTACTCTTTCACTCTTACATGTACCCTTCCCAATCATCTGGGACAAGTTTGTCTTGTAAAAGACTGTTTTAAATAGAAAGTGATTGATGATTTCCTCCTCTGGTTGTCAAAACATTTATTGCTGTCAGTCTTTTTCATGACAACTCTCACCTGGACAATTAGATCATATGAGCAATATTTTATTTGCAATATATGAGCAACAACAATTTGCTAACAATGGCATCCAAATGAACTCCAGGATTGCCTAACCTCAGGGGCAGGTTCATGCATGGTTTATCTTTGTAATAGGGCAAAATGCTTAGTTGAAACAAGCTTCGCATTTGTTTATTTTTTAAGTCATATGCTTACAAACCTTTTTTAATTAGAGATAATATTTATGCTCTCCATCGATGCAAAGACTAAAATTTTTTTGGCTCATATTTTTATCAGATGCAAGATCTTGGTCTGCAAGCACTGTGCATTGAGGATAATGGTATGCACAGGTACATTAGAAAACTGCTTGCATTACCCTTACTACTTGGCAAAGAGATTTCTACTCAGTTCCAGCAACTGAAACTACAGGCAACCACATAGACACTTCAGGAACTAATAAAATACATTGAGGACACATAGATCACTAAAATTGCGTACCCCATTAGAGATTGGTCTGTTTATTGTCAGCCATTAAGAACAATGAATGATATTGGAAGCTGGCCGAAGGCTCTCAGTGGTGAAACTGGTAGGAAAGGCCAAGTTCCTTTTTACACTCTAGTTCAGTCACTGCATCAAGTGGCCCAACTTTCTGTTCAAAATGTGCAGTTAGTAAGTGACAAAAAGTTGATCAGGATTCAACAGCAGGATTGCCATCACTTGCAGTCACAGATCAGTCAGTATTGGACTGAGTTTAGGAAAAGAAAAATAACAGCAGCAAAACTTCTAAAGGTCTATTCCAAGCCGTATGGGCCATCTCAAACTGAGTCTAGACTTTCATATATCATGAGATTTTAGTCATTCATTAATAAGCATGTATTTATTTTGAAGACTGACATTATATGCCAGCAGAAGCTTAGAACCTACCAGTAATGTGTAGAAGTTTACTTGCCATGATTTTTTAAATAATTTCTTTTGTCTTAATCAAAATTTCCTATTTTTTTGCATTCAGTTTTGTATCTTGTAAAAAGTATTTTTGGGAAAATATTCATAACAGTTGTGTATTAGAAATATTATTAAACACATTAAAGTGGTGGTAGATGTGGCAGAATCTTTTACAGCAGTGATGAGTTTCTTTAACTTCTCAAGAAAAAAATTGCACCCAGGTTAAAATTTTAATATATTACAGTGTAACATTAATTATTGATCATTAATAGCACAGTTGGGTTGAGAGAATTGTTAATATTTTAATATTTATTATTTCTACAGTGTTGTAATACATATTGTAAGATGTACTGCCACTGTTAATGTTGAAAGCACTGTTTGTGACGAGTATCATAATTCCAGTATGCAAGGTTGTAAGTCTTTCTTCATTGTTGCAAGAAGTATTAGTACTATATTGTATTGCCTAATTCTAGTATGGCAACAGAATAACATGGAAAGAGGGGAAAATTCTCTCACTTACGATAGCCACAGATTGTCCAAACAAATTGCTCCCGCGTTTGGCTCGTTACACAGTGTCGTCTCTACCATGACACATATTACACGACGAGCCTAAACACTTGCTGCAGGGAACATCCAAGAATGTGTCTTTGTTTCGACTTTGCGAGGCCAGTGCGCTTGTCAAGCACAAGATACGCGCGCGAAGAATAGCAACCCCCGGCTCTTGCTCGTGAGTGCCAGTGTCATTCACTCGCGTGGCTGGTTCCCAGGGTTCTGTCCTCCCCGTAGAGAGAGAAACTTGGTAACGAGGTTGTCACTCGCGCCCAATCCAGCGTGCATCCTACGCCAATCCTACGTGCATTTGTCATCATTCTTAAAGGCGGGTATGATTATTCTTGTCTTTTCTACACGAATATTAGCCTTCTTAGCCTAGCTTTTGAATGAAAATGCGATCGATTTTAAGTATCTTATCGAGGCCAGAAAGTGTAATTCACACGGATATTAAAGAATAGCAATTGGGGGATCAATATTAGTATCTGGGTAACTGCCCACCTACCCCTCTCCTAACTCAACAACAGTCAATTGATAACAAGTTAGAGTTAATGTTGGGTTAGGGGAGGGTTAGGTGGGCAGTTGCCCAGATACTGATACTGATCCCAATTGGGCCCGGCTGTTACAGCGAAAGCAAGACGTCATCTTCTGGACATGGACTTTCAACACTGCTTTTATTACAAGATAACAGGGTAAAACTAAAAAACAAAACAAATACGATATGAGTCTAGTAGGATAAACCAACAGCTGTGGCTTGACTCGACTCCCGGACCTGATATCACATGTGGGTTGAGTTTGTGGTTGTTCTCGTCCTTGTTCCTGGGGTTTTTCTCCAGGTCCTCCGATTTTCCTTCCTCCACATAAACCAAAATTCCAAGTTCTAATTCGACCTGGAAACAGTGGTCAAGATGAGTCACCTCCTGGAATGTCCACTGCTGAATTCCATTCTTCATCTTCTTCTTACTATTATTATTATTATTATTGTTATTATTATCATTATTTTTAAAAAAAACTACGGTTAACTATAGCTTTATTGCGCGACTTCTGGAGAATCCGACTGAGGAAGTGACTATGTTTAAATTCAAGAGGACTGCATAATAACGTGCGGGACGAAAGCGTGTGAAAGTGAAGGTGTAACTGACGAAAAACGATGACGAACTGAACAGAAAACATTAACAAGAAGGTATAAGAAAAGAAAGGAAAAGAAAAATAAATAGTTCTAAAACTAATTAAAAGACGCTCAGATCTTGCGCTGGTAGTCATATGAGAGTGGTCTCTGATTAACGAGATTTGTGTTTATTAACATTTCTTAGACGATGGTGTTGTTTTTGGAAAGCCTATTTGGAAGTACTAGAAGACTTTTCTGGAACCTTGATCACTTCCAACGATAATTTCACGAGGGGCGAAAATTGCATTGGGAGCATCGTTCTGTTTCGCTTCTGCTATCATTTTCCTGGTTCATGAAATGCAAACTGCTGATCGTAAGAGGCTCAGAGAAGGTGTGATCAGAGATTTAGAACGACAAGAGAAAAAGAGGAGAAACCTTGAAGAGTTAGAACAACAGATCGAACTAACAAAGAAGTTACAAGAGCAGAGAGACAAGTGATCTGTAATTTCCTCACTAAGAAAACTTCACAGAACTTTGTAGGGACCATAACTCAGTTGTCTTATGGATTAAATAAATAAACTGTGCAGTTTTGTTAATTCAAAAGTGAAACGAAGATATAAGATCTATATGAGACAGAAAATTATTTTAAGTAAGCTTGCAAGATCTTGTTTCAGTCACTTACTATGGTCACGTTACCAAACGATTTTGAGTAAAAATTATTGTTTTGTGTGATTTGCTGAGGTTTCCTGTTTATATCGTCACCACTGACTGACAGCCTGGCACAAATTACTGGTTCTTTCACTTTGATCTAAGAATAGAGGTGATTTGCGTTCTCGAAGATAGCGTATAAAAAAGGATGGATTTTTTCCTCATATTTTTTTTCAGGCGAGCACAAGCCGAACGCGGGTCGAACCAGAAACGCGCGTAGTGTGGAGCGTGAAAAAAAATCGTTCCTACTCTATCGCGTGTTTTGCTTAATGCTGCTTCCTTGAAAGATGTAAGACAAATATTAGACTGGACAACTCAAAAAGCGTCTGCCTTAGATGTAAGATTGCAGATTGTAATTGTTATTTCTGTCAAGACTAAGTTAGGAAATTTTGAAGAGCATTGTTCAGGTGGCCATGTTTATTTCAAAACGGAAATTGAACAATACTAAGTGTATTGTCTCGATTAAAAGGGAAATTTCCCTTCTTAAGGTGTGTTTGACCTGTAACATCACGCTACATCTCACGAGAACAATGAACTCTTCATTGCATAGGCATTTAGCATATTAAGGGTTTAAAGCTTCCGTCTGGTATGAATAACAAGTCATAACACGTCAACCAGTCTTTGGAGTAATTTCACAGTTCGTCCACTAATCAATAAGATAATCAGTTTGTGCATCTGCCATCATGATGTTTCTCGCTCTAACTTGAATTTCAAGGTAGGTAAAGAACAGTTTTTATCAACTACACCTTTTGTTGTTCATTATGAGAAAATATGCACTCATTTGCGTGAAAAGCCGAACTATTGCGTGAAGTCACATTCATCAGCGACAACAAACGATCATTTGCGCGTAAATCAGATTCCATAACGATTTTTGTATTTTAATCAGCATTCAATAGCAATTTTGGGCTTTCTTATGCGTCAAACGTCATACAAAAGAGAAAAATACACTTTCATTTCCGCTAACCTCCAAGTTATAAACGCCATCTTTAATGCCAATGGAGACAATACACAAACATTCTAAAGCAGGAATCATTCATTAAAACTTTTAACCAACAGCCTCATTAGCCCTATCATTATTTTTACCAACCATCGAGGCCTCAAAATCCAAATAATCAGACCACAAAATCGAACTGCCCTCACTTATTACAAAAAACCGACGAATTTTCAGTTAAGCAAGACGTTGAAAAATTCCTTGGCCGCGTTCAGTTGAAAGCCTTTTTTCATGACAAAGAGGATGATTCTAACACCTCGAACAAAGATACTTTCGAAACACTCCAGATTCGAAAGTCTAAATGGACTCCCCCAGAGGGCAAGTTCTCATCTTTAGATTTTTTCCTCAAAAAATGTCGCCACGATATCAACAAACTTAAATGCAATCGTTACACCAAATTTTCCAATCTTTCTTCGGAAGAGTGGTCGGCACTGAAAAGTCTAAAAAAACGCAGACATAGTCATTAAGGCGGCCGACAAAGGTGGTGCAGTTGTTGTTTGGCGGGCCGACCTCTACCAAAAAGAAGCTTTGCGGCAACTTTCTGACACCTCCTTTCATGCTAACGTCGACAAAGATCTCACTTTAATTCACCAAAACATTGTCAAAAATACGATTAACGATCTTATAGCTAGACAAGAATTGCCGGCCACTGCTAAAAATCTCATCATTACCACTCCTAGAACTTCATGTATTTACTTTTTACTTAAAATCCACAAACCTAACAACCCAGGTCGACACTAGAAGTAAACACTAGAACAAAAATTTATATTCCAAATCGGCACCCTTAATCCCCACGGATTCAACGAGCGCTTTTCATTCAACTAATTTATTCCTGTTTCTCGTCACCATATACCCACCAATGGCGTAGCTCCACTTTCTGCATATAAACCCACACACAACCCACAATTCCTCTAATCGCTCTGACGAAGGGCTAACGCTCGAAACGTCAGCTTTTTTACCCTTTATGGTGGCTAATTTACGTTTTCAACCCAGTTGTTAACACTAAATTACCTGCTATACTCTCCCACCGACGTAGCACCAAGGTTTCTTTAGAAACTCACCCCTTTATTCATTTGCCCTCACTTAAACTACTCAAGGAGGGATAGTAGCCAGACTGTTGTTACCGGGGGAGGGGTAAAGGACGAACTATCAATATGCAGGGAGGGGTGGGAGGTTGATGTATTAGTAACTGCCACCGATTTATGGAGTGTTTATCGCATCATACATATTATTTTGAGCGGTTTTTCGACTTACTATTTGTATGTCAAAATCTTGGCGCTGGGTAGCGTTTCTTTGATTTTTTGTCATGCGAATGCGAAACTGGCACGAAACACTGGACTATAATTGTTATTGAAAATATCTCCAATTCCTGTCTTCGATCCTCCGCTGTTAAGTCATGCGTGTACCCGTTAAGCCGACTTGTGCCAGTGCTAAATGATACTCACAGGCTAACATGAATCATCTTTCAGTTGCCTCACGTTTCCCTTTTTGTGTGTGACGGAAAAAGCGAAGAAAAAGAATGATGTCTTTATAAATGGTTTCACAACACGGGGTTTAATCCAGCAGTCAGTGAAACTCTCCTAACATATCCAAGCTCCAAACAATAAAATTCCCGAGCAGAATCGGTCACATTTACTGACTTCTACGTTTTGCGGACGGTAAATATCGGCAAGAAACAGTAGCCATCACTAGCCACCAGAGTTCCACTTCGCAGGTTTCGTAGGTTTTTACGTAAAAAGTGATTCGCAGCGGCCCAGGCAAATTGGAAAACAAACCGAGGGGAGTCGCGAGGAATACCTGGTCGCGATTTCCGGTGTTGGTGATTAAGTCCTTGTTTGCGAAACAGATGAGTAGTACCTCTATTTTATTTATTTCAGAATGATAATATACATGATTAAAACACAATATATATCTTACCATATGGCTTTTATCTCAAATAATCGGTATATACACACATTTGAATCCAATGAATCTATGAAAAAGGGCAATAAATATTTTTATTTCATTATTAATTCATTTATTTTTACTATTCGCCACTATTCGTCGCTATTTGTAACTATTCGTCACTATTCGTCGCTATGCGTGACTATTTGCACTATTCCGTCACTATTCGTCACTATTCGCGACTATTCGCACTATTCGGGTTATATTGCAAGTACAGCAGTGTTTTTGCTGAGTTAAGGGTTAAAAATGGTTCGATAAATGGTCCAAAAATAGTCCAAAAAATCGTCCAATCCATATTTTACCCTAAAAAAAGTCGTTCCTACTCTATCAGGTGTTTCTTTTATAGCACTCGGAAACAGACTAGACAAGTCAAAAAACACGTTTGTTCTATGTAAGATTGAAGAAAGTAATTGTTATTTATGTCTAAAACTATGTAAGGGAATTGAAGAACATTTTCCAGGGAGGCCATGATTATTTAGAAACGGAAATTGAACAATACTAACTGTATTATCAAGATTAAAAGGGAAATTTCCCTTGCCAAGAGGTGTTTGACCTGTAAACGTCATTCAACATTTCTGGAGAGCAATGAACTCAACATTGCATAGACATTTTGCATTTTAAGGGTTAAAATTTCCGTGTGGTATGAATAACAAATCATAACACCTCAACTAGTCTCCGAATAAATTTTGAGTTACAGTCTTGCAGTTCGTCCAATAATCATTAAGATTATCAGTTTGTACGTCTACCATCATAATATTTCTCGCTCTAACTTGAATTTCAAGGTACGTAAGTAACAGTTTTTTCAACTATGAAAGGAATGAAACAACAACAGACAACATCTATTGAGGTCTATGAAACTCCAAACTTTGTTAGACTTTGCACAACACCCGATTTCTGATCACTGCTGTCAGTAACTAGATTTGACGTTTGGCAGTCATCATCTTACGTACAGAGAATGTAAAAGTTTTAATCCGCTTTTAGCATAAATGAAAATGCAATCTTTTGTAGCCTTCAATTTCCTGTTATCATCAAATGCGCAATAATTTGTTTCTTCGTGCTTCTTGTTCATGCCACGCAAGTTCGTAATCCCATTCATTAAGGATACCTTGTAGAAAGTTGCAACAGAAAATATTAAGTCTTTGGCAACTTGAAAGAGTTGTGAAATTTCTTAAGCATGTAAATCAAAATACCGTGAAAGTATCATATCAGACGTGAAATTAATTCAAAATTTTTGCTGGCAAAGAAAATTCTACGTATCAATAAAATGGAGTTGAGGTTTGCAAAAACAATGTTTTGACGTTATACCAAGCTTATTGAAGTGAAATTTGTGAAGGACTTTAAGTTATAAGATGCTCATTTATCAAATGGTGTCACAGTCTTCGATTTTTCGGTTTCTGCATTTTAAGGGAAATATTTTGGTTTTAATTACAAAGTGCTAGGCTTTGCCTTCCAAAAGGAAAGCAGATTTAAAGCGTACAACTTTAATCTAATATATATAACGCAGAGATGAATTTTTTACTTTGTCTCAAGTTAATTTAGTTGTGTAGCCACTTTCCGTATCCACGCCGTCATGTACAATTGATAAGGCCAGTCTGCGTGTGCGATAAAGTATTTATTTAAACGAGAATAACATGACCAAAGAACCTTTTTCCTTTTCCCCTCACATACATCAACCAACAGTTTTCCCGGAATTTTGGTCGAGGATACTATTTCCAGAGCTCACGCCGAGTATGACTCTACAGCCCTTTACGGACGACCAGCTGAATTATTTCAAATTTGCCTCCATTGTACTGAATGAGTTCGCCATTGCTTTGCGTCAGACGTTCAAATCCATGTGGGACAACATATTTGGACATCGGCCCGGGTATCAACTGTGGGATAACTCCACGCTAGTAAGAAATTTATTTCTCGCTGAAGAGGGTGGAAAAAGCAAAGTTCCTACACACATCTCCTATGAAGAATGGGATTGTACCGCCCTTTTTCAGGCCACCATCTATGCAAGGTCCTTCGCTACGCCAGATAGCAAAGGTCACTACAAGACACTTGGTGAAATGTACGTAAAGCACCATAAAGTACCTCCTGGAAAGTTCCATCCATCTGTTGTGAGTCCAAGTAGAAATACAGCCGAAACCTACGCTCTCGCGATTGATCAGCTTCGAATTTTACGAAACTTGCTTTGTCACTCGGACAGGTCAGAGATTGATAAACCAACCTTTGACCAATACGTGCAGCTTGCTAAAGAAGCATTCATAGCTCTTGGTATCATGACAGATCCCATTGATGCCATCGGTGGACTAACAGAATCTGACTTTCCCATCAAAAAAGTTCACAAGTTGGAAGAAAGTCTTAGACAGGAGACCAGATCATACATCGAGTGTCTCGAAGAAGTAAGATCAGGTGTCGACAAGTTAATAGCACAAGTTGAAGACCTCGCTTTGTTGGAGGGAAAAATAGATGATTTGAAACTTAAGATGGATCAAGATCAAGATCAAACAGGTATAAACTGATTTATAACTTTAGAGGACTTTTTACATTAACAATAATTTTAAGATGCAGTGTGACAGAGTCTTATAAGCACTACTTTGACAAGGAAGAACAAAAGGGAAAGCAGTGTTTTTACTCTGTACTTTAGTAATAATATTTCAACAGGGAAAACTTACAGTTTTTGAAAAAACGCTTCGTACTTGTCTTGAAAATCCTTTCTTCTTCCCTTCCAAGAATTTATTCTATAATCAGAGTACCACCTTAAACAATCAATTAACTTTTATTTCAAAACAATTAGTTCAAGAAGTAAACTGCACCCACTATATTTACCGGCATCGTGACTTTTGTGCAATGTTGTTAAGATTACAACTTTACGGAAAAAGCAAGAAGCTCATCATTAAAGCTGTATCCGAAAAACTTGATTTCCAGATTTTAATGGTAAAGCAAAATGTACCCTTTTCATGATCATTATTTTATTTGCTATTCACACTACCGACATGAGCTCTTTCATGATTGCATCAATTTGTTTCTTTTCAGATTCAAAGCCGTTCCTTCCGCCATCAAATCTTCCTTCAAAGGTTCCACATTTCACTGGCCGTCTGAGAGAGTGTGAAGACATCAGTAATCACTTAGCTTCCAAAAGTTCCCGGATCGTGTCGATATGGGGCTCGCCTGGTTTTGGTAAGACTTCTGTGGCGACTGAAGTCGGACATCAGCTCCAAAGTGGAGGACTTCCCGTATACTTTTTCTCCATGCGAGGGCTTCTTTCAAAAGCCGATCTGACATCGCAGCTTCTGAGCTTCTTTAGAAGACACTCCTCAAAGGATCAAATGCCTCAACGGATGTCCATAGAAGAGGAACTTTTTCTTTTTCTGAGCGACATTTCAGATGAATTTGTGTTGATTCTTGACAATGCCGATGACTTACTCGAAAGTGGAACACCAAATGTGAAGGAGGATTTCATAAAGCTTCTGGAAGTTATTCTTAGTCAATTCAAAAATTTAACATTTCTTCTTACCACAAGGGAATCTCTTGAATTTATGAATGTGCATTTTGTAGGACATCACGCAGTAAGAATAAGGTCATTACACGAGTCCTTCTCTCAAACGTTAGTCGGCCAATTACTTCCAAAAGCAACCGCGTCTGATTGCTCGAAAATTGCGAAAATCTGCGGTTTCGTACCTTTGGCTATCAAACTGTTGTGTTCCTCCATTACTGAAGATAATGCTCAGCCGAGTCAATTTTTAGATAACTTCAAGGAATCCATAGAAGGTAACCTTTTCGAGCTTATGGACAATCCAGATTATCCAAGCTATCTGCGTTTGAAGTTCCTCTTTCAATCCTCTTTTCAGAGACTCTCTTTATCAGACAAAAAAGCGCTAGCATCACTTAGTGTTCTTTCTGGAGATTTTAACCACTCGGTTGCTGCAGCTGTCATGGGTGTAAAAACTACTCTGGAGGCCAAGAGAATCTTGCATAGGCTTCGGAGAAAATCCTTCCTCGACTCTAGCCCCAAACCTGAGTCATTTTCGATGCATAAGTTGATTCTGTCGTTTGCAAGGGAAAGGGGTCAAGATGAAATGAAAGAGACCATGCTGAACTCCAAAGCACGTTTGTCTGCATTTTACGTCTCTCTTTTCGAGAAGCTGAATAAACAGTTTTTGACAGGACAATCCATGCAAGCATTTATTGATTTCTATGAAGAGAAGCAAAATATAATTCAGAGTCTCATGGAGAGCTGCTCCGATCCTAAGACATGTGACGTTGCATTTGGTGTCCTGACAAACGCAGAAATTTTTCTAGATTCCCTTTTCTGGTGCGAGGGAAAAATCATCGATAAAATTTACGACCACGCAACTAAAAAAGCTCAGGCGTTTGGAAAGAGCGCGTTCTACAGTCAGTTACTGGTGTCCTTGGCATTCGGCGAAGTGACCTGGGGGATACGTGGAAGATCGATGACGCTGCTCTCTAAAGCTGACGGCCTTTCTTTGTCGATAAATGATAAAAGCAAACTCTTATGTTATAAAGGCATCTGTCAACTGGTTTCAGGGAAAATAGACGACGGAACTCAGAGCTTACTAAAAGCTCTTTGCTTGATGAGTGACAGCTCCGAAGAACGAATTCTCAGAGTAACTGCATTGCAAATTCTTGTTACTTACTTTCTCTTTATGAAAAACAAAACAACTTCACTAGAGCTTTACACCAAAGCCCTACGTGAATGCAGAGCATTAGGAGACACAAGTCTTCTTGTTATTCCTCCAGTGAATAACAAAGAATTCAGAATGATCGAGGCAGATATGCCGGAGCAAGATGTTACAACCACTCAACCACTTAGGTTAGAAACGATTTGCGTTGTTAGCAAAGCGACAGAAATGTTCTCTGATTATGAGACAAAGCAAGCAATAAGCAAATCTGTGCTATGGATGTCAAATCAAACAGAAAAACAGATCCTCCCACATTCCATCGGTTTATGGATCTTCCGGCGCAACGTCAATATGACACTTTCAAATGTATTGAATAATCCCGAGGAAGCATCAAAGTTGTGCGACACTTGGATCAGTTATCATAAAATGACCTTAAACCAAAGTGAAAAAGTTATCCCAGTATATAAAGCTAAACCCGACCAACATCTCGATTTCAATTTGCATCAAGAAGGATTATTAAGAAGCTATTTGGACCATGGCCATGCTCTTCATCAGATGCAAAACTATCCTGGAGCCATTCAGTCCTTTCAACGTGCCATTGACGTCGCAATAGGACTGTTCGGGGAAGAACACCCAGACACAGCTCAGAGTTACGTTTATCTCGGAGTAACACAACATGCTTTGGGCAATTTCTCGTCAGCACTTCAGTCCGAGCAGCGTGCTCTCGACATAAGAGTTAAACTCTTCGGCGAAGAACACCCAGACACAGTTCAGAGTTACGTTAATCTCGGAGTAACACAACATGCTTTGAGCAATTTCTCGTCAGCACTTCAGTCCGATCAGCGTGCTCTCGACATAAGAGTTAAACTCTTCGGCGAAGAACACCCAGACACAGCCGAGTCTTGCTTTTCTATCGGAGTAACCCAACATGCCTCAGGCGACTTCTTGGCAGGACTTCAGTCCTTTCAGCGTGCTCTTGATATAAGAGTTAACCTCTTCGGCGAAGAACACCCAGACACGGCTGAGTGTTACTTTTCTATCGGAGTAACACAACATGCTTTAGGCGACTTTTTGTTAGCACTTGAGTCCAAACAGCGTGCTCTTGACATAAGAGTTAAACTCTACGGGGAAGAACACCCAGACACAGCTCAGAGTTACGTTGATCTCGGAGTAACACAACATGCTTTAGGCGATTTCTCGTCAGCACTTGAGTCCGATCAGCGTGCTCTTGACATAAGAGTTAAACTCTTCGGCGAAGAACACCCAGACACAGTTCAGAGCTACGTTAATCTCGGAGTAACACAACATGCCTTAGGCAATTTCTTGTTAGCACTTCAGTCCGATCAGCGTGCTCTTGACATAAGAATTAAACTCTTCGGCGAAGAACACCCAGACACAGCCGAGTCTTGCTTTTCTATCGGAGTAACCCAACATGCCTCAGGCGACTTCTTGGCAGGACTTCAGTCCTTTCAGCGTGCTCTTGATATAAGAGTTAAACTCTTCGGGGAAGAACACCCAGACACGGCTGAGTGTTACTTTTCTATCGGAGTAACACAACATGCTTTAGGCGACTTTTTGTCAGCATTTGAGTCCAAACAGCGTGCTCTTGACATAAGAGTTAAACTCTACGGGGAAGAACACCCAGACACTGCTGAGTATTACTTTTCTCTTGGAGTAACGCAACATGCCTCAGGCGACTTATGGTCAGCACTTGAGTCCAAACAGCGTGCTCTTGACATAAGAGTTAAACTCTTCGGCGAAAAACACCCAGACACAGTTCAGAGTTACGTTAATCTCGGAGTAACGCAACATGCCTTAGGTAATTTTTTGTCAGCACTTCAGTCCGGTTAGCGTGCTCTTGACATAAGAGTTAAGCTCTTGGAGGAAAAACACCCAGAAATAGCTGAGTTATACTTTTCTCTCGGACAAGCACAACATGCCCTAGATGACTTTTTTGTCAGCACTTCAGTTCTTTTAGCGTGCTCTTAACCAAACATGCCTCGGGCGACTTCCTTTCAGTGTGCTCTTGACATAGGAGTTAAACCCTTATGGGAAGAACGCTCAGAAATAGCAAAGACTTCTGGACTGAAACAGAACATGCCTCAAGCGACTTCTTGTTAGCTTTTGAGTTTTATTAGGGTAGAACACCAAGTTATTGCATGAACTTTTCACTTTCTCACGTTAAAGCAGTAGAGAATATACTGAGCAACTGTAGAAACGGGATTAATAACTTTTGATAATTAGTGAAAAGCGCAGCTTTGTTTTTGGTTCAAACTCTTCTGGGAAAACTATTAAAGTTTTGTAGTTACAAACAGAGTTCTTCGAGTCTCCAGGCATTGGGAGTGAGGGGGGAGGGGACGGTGAGGTACTCCCCTTACCTTGCCTAAGGGGATACACCGCTGAGCCTTTGAGACTTGATCCACGCCCGTTTTGAACATTATAATTATGGGCCAAACTCTCTTGGGTGGCCAATTTGCATTAAGGTTACTTTCCACCTTCAGAGGCCATAAAAAGTCGATTTTTCTTTTATTTGACTAAACAGAATATAAAAATTTCTCCTGACGTCTCCATACAAAATTTTCTGAAATCTTCAAAAGTACCCGAGTTATTTAGAAAAACGTACTTTGAAATAAAAATTAATAAATCAGAAAGGTGTCCTCTTAGACCTGAGCGAATCCCCTGAGGAATTTTCGCGGCGACTGCTCATCTTTTCATGTTATTTCCATATTTTGTTTCCATCGTGCACTTGACAAAATTCACACAGGGAAGCTCTTTGGTAATGGAAAAATCTTTGGCCATCAAAAAGTCAAAAGCAGAAGAAAGTCCCTGCTAAAAAAAAAATAAAAATAAAAATAAAAGAGGCAAAGGAGCTCCACACTGGCGTCCATATTTCGAACAAAGAAGTTACCGTCAAAACAAAATTTGCTAAACGCAATCGAATCATTATCCAAATTATCTTGTTATACTCACCCACCAACGCAGCACCGCAGTTTCTCTGGTAACTTACTCTCTTTAGTAATAAAACCCAGCTGAGGGACCCCTTCCCTTTTAACCTATGTATGAAAGTCCTTCTAGGAAGAAAGGTGACTTGGATTTGCAGAAAATTGAAAAATTTTGTGAAAACTTGAATGAACCATTAAGTCTTGTTCTTTTAAACTAAAATAAAATATTTTCAATTTCATCTCAAATTTTAATTGCAGAAACCTCAATGAAAGCACTTATGTTGTTACATGTTCAGTCTGTTTGTTCTGCTTATGTTGAGGGCTCCCGGTTCCCGAATCCACACAGAATGGTGGGGTATATTTGATCTGGAATCTCCAGAGGTAGGAGTTTTGTTTGATAATTTTATCATCTCGTTGTTTTTCTCTTACGGAGACACTGTGATGTAGGACTGGATAAAATGCACACCCCCGGTGGTGTCGCGAACATTCGACTGGTGTCTGAGAATGTCTTGTTCTTGCCGTGGTCGACCAGGATTGTATCGAGGTGTATGATATGAGAAGACTTTAACTCACCATTAGCTCTTGTTCAGAGTGCCTACACCAGAGATGACGTAACTATTTCTTGTTTACACTCCTAGCGACTGTGACTCCTCTGTTGTATTCTCATCGATTCGACTCAATTCAGATCTTAAATGCCCTCGTTCGTGTTCCTCGTTTGCCTCCCCCTTTTGGTTTGTTTTTATTTTTCATAGATGTGTTCAATAACGTCCTGTGGCATTGCCTTGGTGAGTTGGGTTACCTGTCACTGAGAAGTCTTGTGTCTAGAGTCAACGGTCACTGCGTCGAGAGCACCAGGTACCACAGAAGCCTACAGGAGAGCTTTTGTTAGTTGGAAGGAGTTTGCCAGCTCCAAGATGGAGATATGTGCGTTTCTTGCAAATTCAGAGCATGTAGCTTTATACTTATAGCATTTCCCATTCAGCAGTTGACTCTCCAAACCGTGGGCACACCATTTGGCGGGTTTACATCCCCTACATACAGCCCAATTATCCACGCAGTTAGCAGAGCGGCTAAGAGAATAATCGGAACTCGAGTTCATAAAAAGAAAGAGCCAGTTTCTCCACACATGATAAGGAAGCTGGTTGAGAAATCCAACCTTGATAACTTACCTGAATTACGAAATGTGTGTTTTTATTCTGGCTTATGTTGGTTTCTTCAGAATAGAGGAGATCCTTCATCTTTAATATGGAGACATATTTTCACAGCGACCACGTAACTATTAATGTTGACAGAAGTTGACAGATCAACTTAGCAATGGGAGCCAAGTCGTAGTTTCAGAGAGCTTTATTATTGTCAGAAGTGACAGTTATCTTAGTGAGGTAAAAGAGTTTCCAGCCAAGGCAAGCCATTGTGTCTTCAGGCGCATGTACAAATTCGACTTAGGTCACAGACTAGTATCTGTTACCAAGCTGCTACGTTATTCATGTATAAGAGATTACTTTATGTTTAGCTTTGGGAGGCTTGTTCCACATATTTCTCTATTTAGTTTTAATAATGACTGATATGACAGAATTTACTGAGCTTCAAGCTTTTAAAACACAAAAGGATGGTTATAAAGTTACTATAAAAATTTCCTCGTGTGTTTGTGTCGTTCTATCTTGTGACGAACTCAAAGTTGCAAAGTCCGGCAAAATTTAATTGTTAGCGACTATGAAATATACATGATGTGCCTACTTGTCGCCACCGTTTACTGGCATAAATCACTACAATTTGTTAAAAAAAAAAACTCTAGCATAACACTCTTACCTTGTTTATTTATGATTTTAAAAGCTGTTTCGATTATTATATTACGCCTGGGTATTACTTTTTGACAGGAGCCCAGGTTTTGCGTTGTGTTTTCCCCTCCCCCATTTACATCATAAGCTAGTCACGCAATAGTTTATACTGACACAAATGCATATTTACCCTGTATAGAGATTTTTTTACGTTGAATTCAAAATATTAGAATATATACCTTTTGTGGCCACTGATCGTTGTTTCAGTGGCAGCGAAGCAGTTAAAAGCGGGTACTGTCACGTTGAAATTTTGCATATTTGAGCGGTCGAACGAAAAAAATAATTTCTCGAAAACTAAAATATATTTTCACAAAAAAACTACATCATAATTATTAGGACATAATGGCTACAATATATGAGAGTAGGAATGAAATCAAATTTTGGGCGACTTGGCAAAATATTTCAAATTTGTGCGATGGATTCTGACATCCTCTCTTGAGTCTTTTAGAAACTTGAAAGATTTTTGAAATTTCATAAACATGTAAATCAAAATGCGGTGAAAGTATCACATCAGACGTGAAATTAATACAAACCGTTTGCTGGCAAAGAAAACTTTGTATCAATAAAGTGGAGTTGAGGTTTGACAACTTAAAAAACACGCCTGTTCTGGAAGTAAGAGTGAAGAAAGCAATTGTTATTTCTGTCGATGACTAGGTTAGGGAAGTTTGAGGAGTATTGTTCAGAGTGGCCACGTTTATTTCAAAACGGAAGTGGAACAATATTAAGTGTATTGTCCAGATTAAAAGTGAAATTTCCCTTGCTAAGATGTGATTGACCTGTGAACATCACGCCACATTCTCGAAAACAATAAACTTTTCATTGCAGAGGCAATTAGCATATCAAAGGTTTAAAATTTCCGTGTGGTATGAATAACAAGTCATAACACCTCAACCAGTCCCCAGAGAAATTCGAGTTGCAGTCCTGCAGTTCGTCCACTAATCAAGAAGATAATCAGTTTGTGCGTCTGCCATCAGGACACTTCCTGCCCTAACTTGAATTTCAAGATAGGTAAGTGACAGTTTTTTTTCAACTATTACGAAATGAAACAACAACAGACAATATCGATGAAGGTCTAAGAAACTCTAAACTTTATTAGACTTGGCACAACACTCAATTTCTGATCGCTGCTGTCAGTAACAAGCTTTGACGCTTTGCATTTGAAGTTTGACAGTCATCATCTCACGTACAGAGAATGTAAAAGTTTTAATCCGCTTTTAGCATAAATGAAAATGCAATCTTTTGTAACCTTCAATTTCCTGTTATCATCAAATACGCAATAATTTGTTTCTTCGTGCTTCTTGTTCATGCCATGCAAGTTCGTAATCCCATTCATTTATGATATCTTGTAGGAAGATACAACAGAAATTATTATGTCTATGGCAAGTTGAAAGAGTTTTGATATTTCATAAACATGAAAATCAAAATACCATGAAATTATCATATCAGAGGTGAAACTAATTCAAGCTGTTTGCTGGGAGAGAAAACTCTGTATCAATAAAGTGGAGTTGGGATTTGAAAAAAAACTAGATTTGACGCTATACCAAGCTTATTGGTGTGAATTATTTGAAGGACTTTAAGTTCTAAAATACATATTCCTCTTATGGCGTTACAGTCTTTGATTTCTCGGTTTCCGCATTTTGATGATCATGAGTTACAACATTTGAACCTCGAAAGGGAAATATTTAAATTTTTATTACAAGTGGTGGAACTTAGCATCCAAACAGAAATAGATTCAAAGCGTACATCTTTATTCTAATGCCGGTAAAGTAGAGATCAGGTTTTACTGTTTCAAGTTGACTTGATTTAGATCGCTCAAAAAGCGCACCTGTTCTAGATGTAAGAATGAAGATTATAATTGTTATTTCTGTCAAGACTAAGTCAGGGAATTTTGAAGAGCATTGTTCAGGGTGGCCATGCTGAGTGTATTGTCCAGATTAAAAAGGAAATTTTTCTTGATAATTTGTGTTTGACCTATAAAACATCACGCCACATTTCTCGAGAACAATGAACTCTTTACTGCATAGGCGTTTAGCATGTTAGAATTTAAAATTTCCTTGTAGTAAGAATAACAACT